GGGGGGGACGCGGCTCTGTCACCTGCCGGAGGGGAGGCGCCGACCGTTGGAGCAACGGCCGCCGGTGTGTGTGCCCCCCCCGTCACCTTCCCCTCACGGCATCTCTGGCGCTCCCCTCACGGCCCCGCCGCGCCCCGGCTTTCCTGGGTCAGGGCGGAGGGCTCGGAGGAGGAAAGGGAGGAGGAGGAGGAGGAGGACTTTGGCCGCGGATGGGATCCCCCTTTCGGCCTCCCTCCGGTAGCGCAGCCGCGGGCGGAGGCGCTGCCGCCGGTTGGCGTGTCCGTGGCCCTTTCCCCTCTTGGGGCGGCGGGGGTGGGGGGGGATGAGGCGTGAGGGGCTTCTCCGGCGCCAGGGGCCGAGCCGGCGGCCGTTCTCGCCCCGGCGGGCCTGCGGGGGACCCCCGGCTGCCTCCCCCCCACACACACACACCCCTTTTGGGGGTGACTCTCGGGAAACCCCAGCCGCGACGCCGATGTAAAGCGTAATGCACAGCAGTGTAACGTATAGGCCGTGTCCCTTGCCGGCAGAAGGGCTCATGGAGCGTACTTGCCCATCGGCCCTTGGTGGGACAGGTTGGTTTTTTTTTTTGTGGCGTGCTTTTGGTGCCAGTTGATGATTTTTGAACTTTTTGGGGACTCCTCCTGTGACTTTCCAAGTAAATTACTCAGACCTCCTGGTGCAATTTCTTCATTAAAACAAGAGGGGAGAATGTAACCCTTTGAACCGGCCTGTGCCAGATGTTTGCTCTCTGCCTTTTATACAGGGAAAGAAGTTACATAACCCAAGCCATGCAAAGTTAAAACTGAAGAGGCGTTTCCATTCTAAGCCCTCACACTGGCCGGTGCAAACTCCCCAAAAAAATCGTTCCGAGCATAAGACTCTCTGTGGCTGTCTGAAATGAAGCAGTGAAATGTCCTTGTGTGTCCTAAAGGCGTTCCCAGGCTTTTGACCTCTAAATATTTAGCTTGAAGCTCCATAATTGAGTTACTGGTGCCATTTTCAGGCAGCAGAATCTGAAAGTGAATTTTAAGCCTGATTTAACTGTACGTAATGCTCTGTTAAATTTCATTTGACAGTCATTCTCTGGAGTCAGAGCAAACATACTTAAATCTTTCTTAGAGATCTGTATAAACAGTTTGTCATAATGCTGTTACATGTTTCAAAAATCGCTGGGCTTCTTTCCTTATTTTGATTAGATAGCTATGTGAGGGTACACAGACACCGGAGACACTGGAGAGTAAGATCACCAGTGATGGTTGAAAGGCTTGCTTATTTGGCAGAAAGCTTGTTTGTTTTCCCTTCCCTCTTGTCACCTAAATGATGTTTGTCTGTCTTTAAGCTGAACTTGTGCGATCTTTTTGCCTGCAGAAGAGAAAAGGTGAGCTGTATGAGTAGCAATTGTGGCGTGTCGTACACAGTCCTCCTTACTGAGAATTTTTTTTTAAGTGAAAGCTGTCTTCTGGATACAGTCTAGTAGAGCATTCTCTCATTTAAAGTTTAATCTTATCTAAAACTAAGTTTTGATTTTTTTTAGAACAAGGCTGTGTCAAATGTAGTTTAATGTGATTTTTTTCATAAAGTTAAAAAGAGAACTGTTTTCTGTTCTGAAAAATAGGGGTGTGTTTTTTTGCTGTTATCACACCAAGTTGTGTGACTTGATGTCAGACTGCAGACTTTCTACCGAGCATTTTACGATATAAGGCCATAACTTGGGTGATGAGTCAAGCTTACTAGATTGGCAAGGTCAAAGGAGAATGTTCTGCTGAGAAATCCAGGTTAGACTTCAGTTCGGGAATTTAGTGGTTTCGGTTTTGCTGTTGTGTTTTTATTTTTATTTTTTTTTAAACTGACTTCTCATTCTTGCTGTGAAAAGGTCAGATTTTGCAACTGAGCCTCTCCTGGGTAGTCTGGTGGCCCTGTATTGGACTTCACTGTAGCACTCTGGGGGGGGTCCCCTTCTGCGCATCCAATTGCAGGTTCTAGCTCTCAACGCAAACCTCTTGTGTTTCTCACATTATCAAAAGTAGTGACTCAAACCCTTTCGCCTTGACCAATGTCATCCATCAAGTTCAGGTGATACAGGTTAAAATTCTGATGTCTAGTGTCTGTGCTTCTGCTGGAACCAGTTTAGTCACGCCAACATTTATTGGGGAAAATTATTAACCTGAAAGCTGCTGTCTGTAGTTGTCATCTATGTTGCTGCTGTACACATTTAACTTCCTGTTGTATCATTAGGAATAAATTATAAAATTCAAACAGCTATTTCAGGTAGCAAGCTAGTGGATGGTAGTGAGGCTCTCATTCCAATTAATCAAGAAAAACTGGTTGGTAAAACTGTCTGCAGAATAGAGAGAATCCTGGCTTAAAAATCACCTTTTTTTTTTTGTGCTTGGGTGAGGACTTAAGTTGCTGATTGCCTTCTCAGCATCCTGAAGGTCTCTGACACCAGCTGTGTTTCAAATTTAACTCCTCGTGCACACAGTTATGCTTACATACTTCATGACTGCACCGGTCAGTCATTAGTAGCTACTGCACTTGAATACAGCATCTCCCACCTGTCTTTATTTGGGGAGAGGTCCAAAAGTGCATCTTGTCTTTGTGGGGTTTTTTGCTTTTTTTCTAAACCGAGTTTCCAGCATTTGGATAATATTTCTATAAATAACAGCTACACACCCTTTTTTTTGTTTCTGCTTAATTGTAGTGGCTGTCATGGTGAAGCTCAGGGATGTTGGTTGAGGAGGGCATTAACTTATACAGTAAATTGTCATCTTAAGTGGAACTGAACTGGAAATAGTTATTATGAAGCTATGCCTTTAATACGTACCTTTTTTTTTTGTTTTCAAATGGTATTTCCATTTGTGGTTTTTTTAATCCTGGGACTATACTCCCTTTCTCTTCCCTGCAACAACTGCTGCTCCATGGGAGATGTTCCAGTTCCTTGAGCTGTTCCTGCTCGAGGACTAATATTTATTGTAGACGTATAATTAGCACACCTGCTCACCTAGAAAATCTGGAATCTCTGGAGTGTTGAAACTGTCATTGTGTTAGCACTGTTACTTAACACACTGTTGGGATTCTATGTGCATATACTAATGTCTTGTATCTCGCTGCAGACCACTTTGGTACCTTAAGTACAGCAAATGCCTTGCTGCGCAGTACAGGATGTGCTTTTGACTTGCTTTATTACAGTATTTAGAGGCTGACATCAAAGAGTTTCCTGCATTAGAGCAATGTTAAGTATTTATGGCAAAATAATCAATTACTGAAGTAAGGGTTTGGCCATTGAGGCCTAGAAGGCTTAAGTGATATTGAGTGAGGTACTATCTTTAGTTGCCATTAGAGCACGATGGGTGCTCTTTCGTGCTGTATCTGAACACAGGAATATTCTTGTCCATAAGACTTGTCTAACTAAAATGTGAGATGCAACTCTCTATCATCTCCATGATGTACAACACTGCTTTATAATTTAACTAATGAAGTGAAACTTCACAAACAATATACAAACAAAAGACTATCTCACTTAACTGTAAATTAAGCTGACTTTATACATGGTACAAGCAAGAAATATTTTTGTTTTTTCTTCTGTGTTGGGTATCAACACTTTCTTTTGTAAGGCAGCCTTTTACTTTGGATTATTAAATAGGGCAACTCATGTTTTGATTAATGGTTGAAAAAGAGAAGGCAATGCCTTAAAAAAGGACCCATGAAAGCGGTCAGTTAAAACAATAGGAGATGGTTTTTCTTAGAAGAACCTAAGATGCAGTTCAAGGGTTTTGAGGTAGGATTACTTATAGAATCATAGAATCATAGAATTTCCCAGGCCGGAAGGGACCTCCAAGGGTCATCTAGTCCGACCTCCCCGCAGTCAGCAGGGACACCCCCAACTAGACCAGGTTGCCCAGGGCCTCGTCGAGCCTCTCCTTGAATATCTCCAGGGATGGGGCCTCAACCACCTCCCTGGGCAACCTGTTCCAGTGCTCCACTACCCTCACAGTAAAGAACCCCCTTCTAATCTCCAATCTAAATCTGTTCCCCTCCAGCTTGAAGCCATTTCCCCTCGTCCTGTCACTACAGGCCTTTCTAAACAGGCTCTCCCCAGCCTTCCTGTAGGCTCCCTTCAGGTACTGGAAGGCTGCTATTAGGTCTCCCCGGAGCCTCCTCTTCTCCAGGCTGAACAACCCCAGTTCCTTCAGCCTGTCCTTGTAGCAGAGGTGCTCCATCCCCTTGATCATCCTTGTGGCCCTCCTCTGGACCCTCTCCATCAGGTCCTCTGTTCTACTTCCTCTGTTAATTTCTGGTGAAGCACAGGAATACAGTAAACCTGACTTGGTTGCTACTGAAATAACTGAGATACAGAGTTAACTCTCATTCAGATTCCAACTGGTCCTTTCTTCCTCTTCTCAGGCCCACGTTGAACAGTCTCTTCTCTGGGCATTAAAAATGCCTCTTGCATCTTAAAAACTTATGCTGCAACACAGTGCTTAGAGTATGGGGACTATCTTCAGAAGAGCCATTTAGTTTTCTCTTGTTTCACTATGCTACTAAGAGTACTTAATTATGTCAGTGACCAGAATGATTTCACAAGAGTGGTAGTGCCCAAACTAAAGAAACTAGAGAATCAAAAGGCTTAATTTTTAGTGAGGCTTTCAGTGAATTCTTTCTGCTTCATAAAGGCAAGATATTGGAAAGCATTTTCTAATTGTAGCCTGGATCTTTTTTACATAGGTTCTCCTTTTGACTGCTGCTTCGGCAACATGAATTGAAATAATGCAAAAGTGTTTTTAGTTTTAAAAAAAACTAACCAAACAAAACAAAAAGCTCACCCACAAACAAAAACCACAGCCAAACTCAAACTGAAGCCTGATGTGCCACTGTGCTGTTTTCCTTCTATGTCATCTTTTAAATCCCTTGCAGATACTTTTTTTTTCTCAACTTTGAATAGTAGGAATGAACTACACTGAGTAAGTTGCTTTGTCTCTTGGCAGCAATCCCCACAGTTTCAGTTGGAGAAGACTTTCAAAATGAGTTCCAAGTCACCTTCAGTAATACTTGAGTTTGGTGGTTGCAGTGCTTCCATATCTTTCCTTGAGTACCATGAGTTGTGTTATCGATGGCAGCTATTTCCATTTATCACTCCCTTTGTTCTTTAGCAACTGAGAAATGGTCTGTGATAACAGTGGTCAGGTTTAAAAAAAAAAGTAAAAGGGAGGAACTCGGATCTTGTGAAGGTTTTATGTGCTGTAATCAAAGCAAGATACTGCTTTTAAGAGTTCTTGATGTTTTGGATGGTTATAGATAGCAGTGACAACATAGCCAAGGAGAAGGCAGGCTACAGTGTCAAATTTGAAGGTTATAGCAAAGCAAAATATAGTCTGGTGTATGAAAACTAGTTTCAAACGAAGCTACAGAGATTATGGGCTTCTAGAAAATACTAATTTCTAAATTTTGTTATAGTAGTAGCACTTGGACTTTCATCCATTCCTTATTTCATTAAAGGAACAGAATTAATCTGTCTTCAGGTTCCTAATCATTGTGAATAATCATTCTTTTCAGCATTTTAATATCTTCTCAGATGAGTAAAATAAGCATGTGTGTTATCTTTCTAAGTTTGTGGTAGATGTACAGGCTTGGAACAGAGTAGATTCTGTGGAACCATTTTTGCATGCAATGCTCCTCGGCTTCCTTCCTGAAAGAGAAGTGGGGGGCAATCATCTTTCTTACGGCAATCTTATGACTGAGAAGGTTATCTACACAAGAACGAGCCTCCTAGCCTGGTTCTGGTAGTTGGTAAATTTGTAAATCAGCATTTGGGCTGTGTCCAAATCACAACAGGCTGAAACCTTTTTGAGTCTTGGCCTGTTCTTCAACTATATTTATTTTAGAAAATTTTCAAGTATTTACAGAAATGAAGCAATGACTAAGTGAATCATCTTGCTGTTAAAAACTTCAAAGAGCACTAATTCTCCCATTTCTTCTGAAGCAAGGATTTACTGTATTGCAGGGCATTGGGCTTTTCAGTTTGTGGTGCGTGCAGTTATGTTTAGGCAGTTTTTAATGGTGATCCCCACAGAAAAGTACTAGTTTAAGTTCTTTCAAGTTCATAGACTGGCAACCTGACCACCTCCTGCCCCCCCAAGACCTCCAAAACAAAAACACCCAAAGCTGCAAAACAGTCCATGTTCTAGTGTGCTGCAGGCTACTGAATCACAGAATGGTAGGGGTTGGAAGGGACCTCTGGGGGATAATCTAGTCCAACCCCCCTGCTAAACCAGGTTCAACTAGAGCAGGTTGGGCAGGATCACATCCAGGTGGGTTTTGAATATCTCCAGAGAAGAAGACTCCACACCCTCTCTGGGCAGCCTCTTCCAAGGCTCTGCTACCCTCAAAGTAAAGACGCTTTTCCTTACATTTAGCTGGAACTTTCTGCGTTCCAGTTTGTGTCCTGGCCCCTTGTCCTGTTGCTGGGCACCACTGAAAAGTCTAGCCCCATCCTCTTGACACCCTCTTGAAGCCTACAGCCAGTTTGGTCCGTTGAACTGAAAACAGGGATCACTTGTCTTGTGTTACCTGTGATGCTCTTGTCACCAAATCTGGTCTTTGAGAGGACAGTAGGAAGGATTTTGGTGGTGATGTTTTCTCTGTGGTTGAGGGTAAAATGTAGTTTAAGCAAAGATAGACAGATACATACAGGCATTGTGTAGGAGGAGATAAAGGTGATTTAAAAAAACTGCTAAAAGGGCAATGGTAGTGGCAGGAGAGAAACTATGGGCTATGATTTGAGAGAGAAATGCTGGGGACTGCTCTAGCAAGGCAGGGTGTATGACATGTATGGAGAGGGTAGGCATTATTTGTGCTGGCAGCCTTAATTCATTTTTCTTAACTCATGGATGATGAGGGTAAAAGTCTTCATGTTCTTCAGGGAGAAATTATTCTTCTTGAGTGCAATAAATAGAAAATTTGTTTAAATCACAAATATTCTACACCTGTAAGCTTTTTCTCAGTTGTTTGAAAAGAGGCTTTAACTAATGTGTGGGTGAATCTTAGTGCTGAGACTATAGTGTGGTCATGCCCATGTTGCACTTCATAATGAAAAGAGCAGCTTTTAAAAATACTAATTATTGACGGAAATGCTCAGTTGTGCTCTGTATGGTCTGTGTAGGTGTCTTCATGTTGTGCTCTTTATACAGAGTATTCCAAACCTGAAACTATTGCTCTCACTACTTAGGACACTTTGGGACTATAACCTGCTATGTTAAAAGATTTATTATATTTTTTTTTACTTATTTTGCTTAAGATGAGTAAGAGAGCATAAGCATCCATGTTAAAGGCATGACAGGTCCATTATTAAACTTTGCACTGTATTTTCCCCAGATTTTTTTAGCTGGAGTCTTGTGTGTCAACTGACCTCCAGAAAAAGCTGACTGTTCAACTAAACCAACAGAAGTGAAGTAGCTGCAGCTTTCTCTTGTGGAAAAAATGTCTATTACTGTTTCCTGCCAACTGCAATAAGTTTCTGACTGCACCTTAAATAGTATATCCTGATTTCTTTTAAAATTATTTAGCAAACTGAGGGCTTATAAACATCCTTAAGGTTTTTCTGCCCGTTCCTATCTGCCTAAGCTTGTTTGTTCTTCATTGTAACAGCAGCTCCCATGATTGCTGTGAAACCCCCTTTAAAGAGCTGGGCAGGCACATGTGCACTTCATCAAAAACCGAAGCAATGAAAGCAAAGTAGGGGATTTAAGGCTTCAGTGTTCAATGAATTACATGTTTCTATCTCTTACTCTGATGTTTTCAGTTTCAAAGGTAAAGCATTTCATCTGAGTACATGAAAGATTAAGAAGGATAACTTACAAGGGGAGTACTTTGATGTGCTGCCTATTTTAGGACACATTGACTAATTTTCCTTTAAAGAAGTTAAATTACCTGATGAACAGTTAACTATCGATTGCTTTAGTTTGTTGTTGTGTTATGGATTGGGGATTTTTTTCCAGCTCAGTTCAAGCATTTGGTCTCTTTGGCTTTCCTCTAATTGCCCAGAGAGGTGGCAGAATCACCATCCTTGGGGAGAGTCAAAACATACCCTAAGAAATAGGCTTTAACTTTGAAGTTGGGTAAACTTTGAAGTTGGCTCTGCTTTTAGTGGGTGGAAGGTGAGGTGTTAAGACATGTTGAAAGAGGTCTTCTAGACCTCTTTCAAAGGACTCTTCTGATCTAATTAGGATTCTAATTCAGCTTTCTGAAAGATTAAAAAAAAATACAAAAGATGAAGAAATGCAAAATCTATTTACGGTGAAGGAGTCTAAAAATATCTATCCTGTAGAGTAAGTTTCCAGAACAAGATGTTTAAAACTCTGACCCCTAGTCTTGTCAAGCCTTAAACTAAGAGAAATCATTATGAGAGTTAAGAACACTAGTTCAAGTGTTTGGGGTTGGTTGGTTGTTCATCATTTCCTACATACAGTGACAAGTCATTTCTGCATCACTCTTATATTTGTTACACTGTGTAATGTGTCTGGCTTCTTGCAAATATCTCAACAGGTTAAATACTATGGGTGTTATTTTTGTGTTTACTGGACTTGCTTTGGGGATGTGGTGCTTTAGTTTTTGAAGTTTGGCTTTGGTTTATCAAACTTCTAAGTGACATAGTTCAAACTTGCATGAGTAAGTACACAAATTCACTTTCATCTCTTTAACTTTCAGTATTAAATAAGAATTAAAATTATTAAACAAGCCATGTATTTTGCAGTAACTAATTAGTTTTATTTGCTTTTTATGCACTGTCAACATTGGTGGCTGCTGGGAAGTAATCCAGTGAGAATTTTTTTTGCAGCTAAAATAAGGTTTAAGATTGCTCTATTTTCACCTGGTGAAGAGCTTAAGTATAAATAAATCCGAAGTAAGTGTTGGTAAACACATTCCTTTTTCCTATTCATTCTCTTCCAGGCATATAACACCAGAGAAATTCTATGTGGAAGCTTGTGATGATGGAGCAGATGATGTGCTCGCTATTGATAGAGTCTCCACGGAAGTCACTCTTACAGGTATTCTCTCACCTGTATTTCTCAATTTGTTCCTCTATCTATTTTTTTGCTGTAGGCACTCCCAGAAGATCTCCAGAACCTTAAATTGATACTGGAAGAATTGTTTTTATCGTCAGTTACTGTTTTAAAATAGTCCTTTTTATTCTGTCCTGCAAAGAGCTGTGTTTGAAATGCCTTCTCGCTGTGGGTAACCAGGGTGATAGTGCTTGCCTGTTTTTGGTACGACTGTGCATCACAACACTAAAACTGACTCACCCAAGCTAGTTGGGATTCGTGCTACAAGTCAAAGATTAAATATGGAAAGGGTTGAACACTGGGCTTCTACAGCTTTTGGTGAACTGTCTCAGTGCTGTCTCTTATTTAATACTGAAACCTGAATTTTCATAAAGTCTCTAGAAACAGGAAGAGTAAAACCCCCTGACTGTAAAGCTAGTTCTGTTGCAAATCTGATTCAAATGTTAGTGCAAGTAGTCTTAAGCATACTGATGCAGAAGTCTTCAAAATTTTTAGTTGTTTTTTTAAGAGTGTGAAACTAATGCATAAAAACAATCAAAGAATCTATTTTTTTGCTGTAGGCACTCCCAGAAGATCTCCAGAACCTTAAATTGATACTGGAAGAATTGTTTTTATTGTCAGTTACTGTTTTAAAATAGTTCTTTTTATTCTGTCCTGCAAAGAGCTGTGTTTGAAATGCCTTCTCGCTGTGGGTAACCAGGGTGATAGTGCTTGCCTGTTTTTGGTACGACTGTGCATCACAACACTAAAACTGACTCACCCAAGCTAGTTGGGATTCGTGCTACAAGTCAAAGATTAAATATGGAAAGGGTTGAACACTGGGCTTCTACAGCTTTTGGTGAACTGTCTCAGTGCTGTCTCTTATTTAATACTGAAACCTGAATTTTCATAAAGTCTCTAGAAACAGGAAGAGTAAAACCCCCTGACTGTAAAGCTAGTTCTGTTGCAAATCTGATTCAAATGTTAGTGCAAGTAGTCTTAAGCATACTGATGCAGAAGTCTTCAAAATTTTTAGTTGTTTTTTTAAGAGTGTGAAACTAATGCATAAAAACAATCAAAGAATTGACTATAAAGCTAGTTCTGTTGCAAATCTGATTCAAATGTTAGTGCAAGTAGTCTTAAGCATACTGATGCAGAAGTCTTCAAAATTTTTAGTTGTTTTTTTAAGAGTGTGAAACTAATGCATAAAAACAATCAAAGAATATGCATTAAATGACAAGAAATTATGGCAATGGGTGACTTCCCTTTTGATACTTTCAGAGTTTGTACTGCAGAATGACTAATCTCTAAACAAATAGAAATGCTACAGTATGTTAATATAAAAGCAGTCATTCTCTTCCTATATCAGGTCTCTTGGATACTTCGTGTAAGAGCTGTATGCCTATCTCACTGATAATTTTGGTGTTGTAGTGTAATATTTCAATTTCTCCTTCAAAGTTGTTTCTTCAAAACTGTAAAGATAGCTGCCCCAAGTCTCTTGTTAGTCGTCATGATTCAAATGTTAGTGCAAGTAGTCTTAAGCATACTGATGCAGAGGTCTTCAAAATTTTAGTTGCTCTTTTTTTTTAAGAATGTGAAACTAATGCATAAAAACAATCAAGGAATATGCATTAAATGACAAAAAATGATGGCAATGGGTGACTTCCCTTTTGATACTTAGTCTTCAAAATTTTTAGTTGTTTTTTTAAGAGTGTGAAACTAATGCATAAAAACAATCAAAGAATATGCATTAAATGACAAGAAATTATGGCAATGGGTGACTTCCCTTTTGATACTTTCAGAGTTTGTACTGCAGAATGACTAATCTCTAAACAAATAGAAATGCTACAGTATGTTAATATAAAAGCAGTCATTCTCTTCCTATATCAGGTCTCTTGGATACTTCGTGTAAGAGCTGTATGCCTATCTCACTGATAATTTTGGTGTTGTAGTGTAATATTTCAATTTCTCCTTCAAAGTTGTTTCTTCAAAACTGTAAAGATAGCTGCCCCAAGTCTCTTGTTAGTCGTCGTCTCTTCTCAATACTGGTGTTTTATGAGATGAACCTGCAAGGCGTTTAAAACAAAAAAAATTGAGAGCTATCTTTCTTTGTTCTCCAAGTTCTGGGAAAATGCCGAGCTCTGGCGTGGGTGTCTTAGAGGTGCTTTTTTTAACTTCTTTAATGTCCCTTCTGCTATTTGAGAAATGTGGATAGATAAAAACTTAAAATACTAGGACTTCTAATTGATACTTCAGTACCTTTTGGATCTCTTGGTATGTTGTTTGAAATACTGTATCCATTGCCACATAGTGGTGTTGTTGGTAGCTTTGCAGAGATAGACCAAAAAGTAAACTGGGTCTTATGACATGGAAATAGGCTGAGGCTCAGAAGAAGCAGTCAAAAGCAGGAGGCACAATCATTTATGGTTTGCTTGTCCTTGATGCCTTGACGGCTTCAAAACAAAAAGTTTCTGGAAGCTGGCAGGACAAAAGCTTGAATTTGTTCAATTGAATTACTATTTTGATTAAACAACATGAGCAATTGAGTCAGAATACTTCCACATCCTTCCCTCTCCTGACCCCATGTGAGGCTTTGAAATTCCAGTACATTGCTGCTTATACTTAGGACTCTAGAAAAATTTGGGATTTGACCAAGAAGCTTTGACAAACCGAGTTTGTTTTTTGATGTAGTCATGAAAAAAGCAGTCTGAAATTCTGATTTTTTTTCCTCTGCTTTTCAGTTAAGAAAGATGTTCCCCCTTCAGCCGTTACAAGGCCTATATATGGTATTTTGGGAACTATCCGATTGGTGGCAGGTAAGGAAAACAGAACTGTGGTCTTTAAAAATACTTAAAGTACAAAATAAATTGCTAAAGAAGCTTTAAAGACAAAAACAGTATTTGCAAATATCTGAGGTTACACTTTCATCAGTATGGTGGGCTTTCCTTGTAGCTGCTAGAGGATGGAGGTATCTAAATACAATTTATCATGAATGTTGATGTCTTTCTTAAACCTGTAGCTGCTCTAAAGGTAGGGTTAACTGACAGCTGGTTGAGTTTTAAGGAATGCATTTCAAATGTGTGCAAAGAATTTCACGTACTCTTCACAACTGTTTTAATCTTAGCTGCAGGATTTGATGCAACAGTCAAATACTGGGTTCTGAAGTTTGAGTTTAAATCAATAATCTTGGTACACAAATAATTTAGTGACAGGGTGATAGGCAAGTAGATGCAGCTGTTCATGTAATGATTGTGTTCCAACTATTCTACAAAGAAAATTCAACATTGAAAGAAAAAGGACAGCCTGGAACAATTCTAAATATTAAGGAGTTGTAGGATAAGGTAAGAATAAGCTGTCTCCTTTTTCTAAGTATCTCGGTGGTGTTCAGTGATAAACAGTCATTGCCACAAATAAACGTGATACATAAAGTCTAAGCTTCCAGGAAAGTAAGTGTTGCTATTCAAAAGGTCTTTTGTGGGTAGACTTTATGGGACTTTGAGACTAATGTAGCCTGAAAAAAAATGTCATAAGGAGCATTCCTGCTGAATAGAAGTCTCCGTATGTAAGAAAGGATTTAAGTTCACTCACTGCAGTGTTCTCAACTGAAGCAAAGTAGTATTGTGTTAAATGCAGTAACTTTTGACAGGATCTTAAATTACTGAACTTTGTGCTCATATTCTAAAGAATTGTGGATCTTGCAGAGTAAGAGCAATGTAATGGACACCTGTGTCTTAAGTACTTGACGAGCCCTCACTGTTTTAAAACAGAACTGCCTCAAAGGGGAATTCTCACACCTTACAGAATTGGTAATGACTTTCATTCATCTGACTGAATATTATATAGAAGTATGTGACTTCTTTTAATAGTCTGGTTGTTGTTTTTTTTTGTTTCCACCCCCAAAAGCTTTGCACTGATTGTTAGATACAGCTGTCAAACTAAAGATGGTATCAGTTAAAGTAACTGTTTAGCTATGTGCTGTTAGGCCATTCGCTGTTATCTGTTAACTGTAAAACTGGCTCCATATCTAGCAATGCAGCATCTTTAACATGCATAAATATTCTTCACCTATTACAGTATTAGGAGTAAAAAAATTGCTGAAGTAATATCTGAAGCTCTGATGTCTAAACAGAAGGTTGCATACCCAAATAGGAAAAAACAATATTAAAAATTCATGTCAGATTACATGTATGTATTTGTGCAGCATCTTTGGCAAAATCGTGGATGTAATGTGCTGCTTTTGTAAGGTATCTGGATGCTTCTGACCTACCAACCAAAAGCAATACTTATAACTTGAGATGCAAACATGCTAGAGCATTCTTAAGTGCTTGAATATTCCACCCAAATAAAAGGTATAACACTAGAGCTGCAGAGGTAAAAAAGTGGGGGTGGTACCTGTTCTTTGACTAACTATATAGCCTAGATACCTGATAAAATAATTCACCTGTCCATTAACACTTGGTGTACATCTAGGTATAGTAGTAAATACAAATAATGGGTAAACTTACTGCACACAATGTGAAATGTTCTGCTTTGACACTTATATTTATTTGAAAGCTTTAGTGAGAAAATGTACTAGATATGTGGTTCTGTACTTCTGAAAGGCCTGCTCACTGTTTTACTCCTTTAAATGCTTACTTAACACTTTAAAGGTTATAAGATGTAGATCATGAGACATTTTTATCCATCAATATCCAATTTGATAAAGTAACCTTTTCATTGAAAAACAAGGTGGCACTGAAATACAACAGGCTTGGAAATGAGGCGATGTTGTGTTTACCAGCAAGTGTAAATAAATTGCTTTGAGTGAACTGCTATGTTGTTTTGCTTTGTTAGTTATACAACCAGTAAACCAACAAATTTCCCACCTTAAATTATTAAAAGAAACCCCCTTCTCTTTGTTCCATTTTGAACCTATTGGGATAACTTTCCAAACCACATTCAAGACCACTGGCCTCTTTCTGCATTTGTAAGCCTGAAAACATTTTTATCCATCAATATCCAATTTGATAAAGTAACCTTTTCATTGAAAAACAAGGTGGCACTGAAATACAACAGGCTTGGAAATGAGGCGATGTTGTGTTTACCAGCAAGTGTAAATAAATTGCTTTGAGTGAACTGCTATGTTGTTTTGCTTTGTTAGTTATACAACCAGTAAACCAACAAATTTCCCACCTTAAATTATTAAAAGAAACCCCCTTCTCTTTGTTCCATTTTGAACCTATTGGGATAACTTTCCAAACCACATTCAAGACCACTGGCCTCTTTCTGCATTTGTAAGCCTGAAACTTTTAGACTGTCTCTGGTCTGAAGGAAAGTAGCTGACACCTTTCTTTTTTTTTATCTTGTCCATTTTTTTAAAATTCCTGAAACTTAATGAGTAGCTCAAGATCTGTGAGCACAGAGAACTGGGTAGCTTAGCAAGTGTATTTTATTTCTGTTCCAGCCTCTTTCTGGTAAGAACATAAAGTCCTAGGTGTAACTGGAAGAAACCTTGCTTTTTCCTATTGGCTTCAGTTTTCTGGTATGGTTATAGGCTGCTCTTCTTAATACATGTATCAATGTTGTTTTTCTTAAAAAAAAAAAAAAAAACACCTATGTTGTTTTTCTTAAAAAAAAAACAAAAAACAAACAAAACCCAAAAACTTTGCTTTTTCTGATTTACAGGCACGTATCTTATTGTAATAACAAAAAAGAAAAAAGTAGGTGAGATTTTCAGTCATGCAATCTGGAAAGCAACAGACTTTGACATCCTCTCATACAAAAAGACCATGCTGCACTTAACTGATATTCAGGTAGGTGGATTGATTAGGAGAGTGTGGGGGAATGTGATCTTATTTGCTTTTTCTGATTTACAGGCACATATCTTATTGTAATAACAAAAAAGAAAAAAGTAGGTGAGATTTTCAGTCATGCAATCTGGAAAGCAACAGACTTTGACATCCTCTCATACAAAAAGACCATGCTGCACTTAACTGATATTCAGGTAGGTGGATTGATTAGGAGAGTGTGGGGGAATGTGATCTTATGCTAATGTCCATTACTACAGGACCTAATTCGATGAAAAAAGGGAACAACTTTTTAAGAAGCTCTTTGAAGGAGTATGGGGGAATGTGATCTTATGCTAATTAATGTCCATTACCACAGGACCTAATTTGATGAAACAAGGGAACAACTTTTTAAGAAGCTCTTTGAACTACCCCTTTTTTTTGTTTCTGATTTGTTCAGGCTACTATAATTGATGTAATACTTGGGTATAGATATATATAAAGTTATGTCTTTCAAGGTAAGAAACTCACATTGTGCACCTTAGAATATCATCTCCAGAGTTTGATCTGCGTATTGTACATTTTTTCCCCCTTTTAAGACGGTAGAGTGTGGGAAGATGAGATGTACTGTCCTGCTGCATCTCTGGTCTCATTCCTAAACCCTGTGTCATCTTTTCTCCCCTAAGGACCTTTATAAAGGCTTTGCTTACCTGGCGTACTGCGGAGGTGGTCTAGGGCTGCTTTGTAATAGATGGCACAAATACAGCCTATTACAAAGCCAGCTTCCCGAGCCAGTCCATAAAATCACACCACTTTTCTTACTGGGTCTTTCTCGCAGCTTTACAGTTCTGATCGCCCCTATGATGTGCTGCCTTGCTGTCACCTAATTATCTGTCTTGCTTAATTTATGGTATTGTTCAATTACATCATTTCCCAGCAAGGAAGAATTGATTTATTACCTTTTTTTTTTTTGAGAGAGAGGGAAAGGATAAAGACTGTTTAAAACAGATACGTTGTGGACTGATAAAGAGTAGATAAGTATGTCTAACTCATGGAGCTGAAAGGGAATCTGATAGTATTTCAGGAAAGGAATGAAGTTAATCAAAACTTCAATCAGAACACAGATTAGTTATTGGGGTAATCTTGACAGTAAGTTATATCCTTTCTTTTACGTTGCCATCTTGTCTTGGTTTTTTTTAACCAAATGGTTTTCAGGGAAACTAGTGGCTTCCTTTTTGAGTGGAAGCTGCTAATATTAGGTTAACACCAGTAACCATTTATTTCACAAGAATACTGTTCTCTACTCTCCACTGTTCTTGCAGAATTTGGTTGCAGTGTGCCAGCTGCAAGTTATCAGCTGGTATCAAAATTGCAATCTCATGGTTTCCTTCTTTACTATAATATCTGCATGATGTCATTGCGTGTTGCAAGAACATTGGCAAGGTTCATCTTATCACTTCAAAAAGTAGTAGTTGCTTATAAGAATAAGATACTTTGACAATAATAAATGAGGCCTTTTCTTTTTTTCCTCCTCTCAACAGTTGCAGGACAATAAAGTATTTTTATCAATGCTTAGTCATGTCTTGAGCGTGGATGGATTTTACTTCTCAACAACCTACGACCTAACACACACTCTGCAACGGTTAGCCAACACCAGCCCAGAGTTCCAGGAAATGAGCCTCCTCGAGAGGGTAAGGATTTCATTTTGCTTAGTGTCTGTCTCAGGCATTGCTAATCAGTTCTGCATGGCTTCAGTTTAGTGAATGCAGCTGGTGTTTAAATGATAGAACAGCCTGTCACAAACTAAAGGAAACTTTACATAAGGCTTAGGAGGAGGATGCCGAAATCAGTGGTCCCATTACACTTAAGCTTAAACCTTCTCTCTTTTTTTTTTACAATGAGTAATATGCTAAGTGGTAGCAGATACTGTTAAAGCATTTATGGTTCTCTGTTAAACTAAAAAGGCCTTTACTATTTTAATCATTAATTTAAACTAGTGAAATGCATTTACTGGTTGCTTAGATGCAAATCCTTAAAATAGAACTAGCCAAAAATAGCATTATGTTGCTAAACTGTGTGACTATATTATCTCTGTAGCCTTGTTGATTGAGTTGTACTGGGGCAGTTCTCTGGAATAAGAAGCTCGCAGTGAGAGGGAGGGAAAAAGAAGCTGCCAAGCAAGTGTGCAAAGTACATTGACTCAAGTTACAGTTTGAGTTTTGCTTCGTAGAGTGGTTAGAATAAGGGTGGAAACTGCTGGTCTGTAATGCTTCAGTACATGAGCTTGTTCAGCACTGGGGGGGTTTTATCGAAACTCTTAGGGCTTGTGGTTGAGCATACCAGTCCACCCTTCCTGATGTCTGATAGCTTGTGAGGCATGTGAAGTTCTAGAAATCTGTTCAGATGTGATGTCAGACTTCTGAATCAGGCAGTCGGAAGTACTTTCTGAAATCTTCTTTAAGTGAATTTAAAAAAACTCAAATGAAAGTTTGCCTCTGACTTCAGTATTTAACACTTCTAATTGCAACAACAAGGAACTAGCAGAAAAATTGGGAGAAAGCAAGTCATTCCTTTGACCTACAATCGGGAGGGGAGGGAGGGAACCCCACAAGGTAGAATAAATGGCACTTGATTTCTTATTCTCTTCCAGAACATGGAACAGAACTGTAGGTTTTATGGCTGTTGGTCCAAGGATGTTGCATTCTCTCTAAACTATGCCTATTCCTTATGTTTGAAGCATGAATTTAATAGGCTGCTTTTGTCTTTAAGACAACAGAATCACACAGCAAACACAATTTGAGCTTAAAATTCTCTTGTTCTTGCACAGAGTTCTAGAATCCTTAGTCTGGTAGCTTACTGCATACTGCAGTGTAAACAAGGTCTAAACTGCTTAGACACTGAGATACTGAAACCTTGGAACTTAATAGCACTTCTTCCTTTGCAGAAGATGTGGCAGTGGACTCAGGACGTTGTCCCTTAATTACTGAAACAGTCTAAGCTGGGGAAGCAGTACACATTTTCCAAAATTTGAAAAAAAAGAAATAATTCAAAAATCAATTTATAGTTGAGGACTATTTTGCATTAGCAAATGCTGCTCTGGCAGAACTTTTGCCAGAGACAGTAGTTGCTGACATGAAAGGATTGGTTTGCTTTAAAATGGTAGCACTTCAGAAGGTTGTTTGAAAGGCAAAATACAGTTAAAAGAAAATTTAGATGTTGGGTGGTTAAAACCATCTTAATGTAATTTGACACTCACGTGGTTGCAGTATAATGGCTTAGTAAAAGGATGGTGACAGTCTTGGGTATCTTCAGTTCATCTCTACAAGAGAAACCTGGCCTGTGGTTAGTGTGTGGATGTTCTGGTTTGTTTGGTTTTTTGAAGGGTTTTTTTTAAGCTGTACTTGTAGAGGGCAATATATAAGTCCCAGTATTAGGGCACCAAAGCATCATGTAGTGTTCTTTCACTAGTTCAAATCCTACCTGTAGCAGGATGGAAAACAATAAATACAACTATTGAACAAAGGACTGTTCCACCACTGAGCTTGAATTAACCCTCATCCTGGGTGATGTATGGTCTGCATTCTTCTTAAATGCTTATGGTCTCTATCGTCTTGCTCTTATGGTCTGTATTGTCTTAAAAGTTGAGATTTATGCTGCTTCCTCAGAGCCTGCTGCATTCTGCAGCAAATGTCACTTTTGTGGCTAATCCGGTAGCTTTCTGAAACCTGCTCAACAACCTGCTCAAGGCAATTTTGAGGTGAATTAGGAATAGGAAATACACAAAGTTGAGGAGGATCATTTTTGCAGTGGAATATAAGTATTTTTATCTTTTAAGCTACAAGTATTGTTTAACATCTGATTCTCAGAATTGTTGATTATTACATACAAGACTCTACCTTCTGCCCATTTTAGAAGTGTTGCTGCTGTTCTTAAAATTTTGAATAATCTTTTCGAGCCCCATTTACTTAGGGCAAAGACTGGAATGTTCTTCCAGTACTGCAGCTCAGTTGTTAATGATTTAGCATGCCTGAAGTGCCAGGCAATGTCCCTAAAGATCAGAGAGAACTATTGTTCTTTTAACTATTTTCATTTTATTTAGATTGCTAGTTGAAGTTATGAATGGTACTGATGAAAGAAGGATGTTTCATCTCTGTGCACATCTGTTCACCTAAACTTGTGTAATGCATGGATACTATCATATTCTCTTCATGTTAAATTAAACAGAACTGACAATCTCTGAAAGCATGTTGGCTTTTCTTCTTGCTGCAGGCAGATCCACGGTTTGTATGGAATGGGCACCTTCTCCGAGAATTTGCTGCTCAACCAGAGGTAAACACTTTGTCATGATTATATTAATACGGAACGAATATATTTCTACTATATGTAAGCAACAGTTTCCTGTAATTGTCTCATTTCAGACAGCCAGAATCCGGTGTATCGTGGCTGTTCATCCTCTAGTTTAGCACAGTGACAATCTTCTAACTTTATAAATCTCAGTAGCACGTACAGTAAAGCTGACTCTGGAAAGGTCTGCATTTGAAGATACTGTGCTGAAACTGTGCTCACATAAACCAAATGTGAACTTATACTCTACAGCATGTGGTTCTCAAGCTTTTTGATGTTTAGCTATTTATTTATCTTTAGGTATGGGTAAGGTTCAGCTCATCACTGTTTCTTAAGACTGACTAGCATCTTTCTCTGTGAGTGCAATTTAAACTCCATTTGCCTAGTGAATACGTCGTAAAGTTGATAATTAAGAAGTAGACTGACAGTTTAGATTTTTTCAGTTTATTTCAAATGAAGACTACCCCAGTGTAACCTTTGAATTCACTTAGTCCAGCAAATACAAGTGCATGACTATGAGCCACAACTGTAGCACATCAATGGCCAGATTGATCTAAGCTCCTTCCTACTAGACATTTCAGATGTGTCTTAAACCTCTCGAATTGTCTGCACTACAGCAACCTTTTCTCTCTGAGTACTTCTCATTTATGAAAGCGAATGACGCACTGCTTCTATTTCTGTCTTGGTAACCTGTGGAGATGTGCTCTTACATTAGACAGCGCTGTTCCAAAAGGCTGGATTGTGCAGTGCTTCTGGAATGTGAAGATAGGAATTAGCAAAAGGTTGTTGTGCATATTCCTGTGGCGTATGACTGGGAATGGTTTGGATAGTGCTATGCAAACAAAGCTTGGGAAATGAGAGAGAAGCTGTGGTGGGAACAGGAAAGCAAGCCAAGTGTGGCTGGCTGGTGAAAACAGACGTAGGAGGCAAAACACAGAGGCTGAAAAGGGAGATAACTGGTATGTGAGGAAGCCACTACAGGTGGCTTGCTGTAGTAACAGGTTTAGGTAATGAGATGTGGTATTTCTGACTTGTAGTATTGGAAAATTGTAATGTTTTTGAAAGACCAAGTTATTTAGGAGTGGCAGGATGGGGACTAACCGTAGAACAAGCATTTCAACTATTAATCACATAGAAATATTCCTTACTGAAGCCCTGTGGTGTTTACTACTATCTGCTTACATCCTACTGTGGAGGTACAGCAACTACCATATCAAAAGATTTTCAGTGTGTACTGCTTTATACCTGGCATACTTGTAGAAGAGTAAATGCCATGTATAGGAGGATAAAGCAGCTTGGGTTTTTTTTATTCAGGGTCACTTAATTAGGATTAGACTTTCACTTTTTCCCTGCTGCTAATCAGGGTTATGTATGTGGGAGTTTTCTTTGAACTTTTTATCTCATTTTTCTCATCTCAAGAATTACTGCACCCTAAACAAAGTAAAAGATACGAAGTATATAAACGTGTCAAAAAAGCATAATCACCCATCTTTTTTTGGCTGCTTGTGTTTAATATTTTTGACGTGTATTTTGTGTATGTGTTTCAGATCCATAGGTTCGCTACACCTGTGATGCACGGCTGTATCCTTTTGGGCTGTAAAGCTCAGTGCTCAATGTGGTTGTCAAACAGCAAAATGGTTACCAATGAGGCTGCTCCATTGGCTACGTTGGCAAATAGAACACAGTGTCAGAATTAAGTTGTAGTTTGTTCAGATTCTAAGCTTTACATATTGTTTGATAGCCCTGTTGTATGTTAACTCACTTGAATATTCTGCTTTTAGGGCTTAATGTATTTAATTTTACAGGCATGATTTGCATAACTGTCTTTCAGTGGAACTGAAGGTTAAGGTGAATATGCCAAATGCTTCACTTCATCCTTTGTACTTTTTGTATTGCTACAAGGATACCTTCACTTAGCATTTACTTTGGAATTAGAATAAGGGAGAACAGTTTTGAGTTGAAGGAGCGTGTATGGATGTTTCTGTTGATGAATAAAAGGATAAGGAGCTCTGCTGAAGGCTCCTGGAATGCTTCTCCTAGGCAGCTGCTTTTCCCACACCAACACTTTGGGTAACAGCCTTTTTAGCAAAGCAGTCATGAATTTATTTTTGAGAAGGGATATATGCTGTGAGTGAGCCTAATACTTTCTGGAGGTGGTGTTCCTCGTGCAGTGTGGGATCAAGAAGTCCCAGGTGCTCCTGGACTGGCAGTGTGAAGAGGACAGGCAAGACTGGACAGAGCAACTCATGCCACAGTCTCCTTAGCTCCTCCATTGCAAAGGTCCCTCAGGTGTGTGCAGGGAACAGCTTCCAGGCTGGATTGGTGGTTCTGGTAGGACTGTTGGCAGCTGGCAGATCTCCAGTCCTCCTTTCCTGTGACTTCATTTAATGGAAAATGCTGTGGGAGTAGGTGGAGAGGCAAGGAAAGATAGGAAAAAGGGAACTGTCAGAACAACCCAGTCCTTATCCAGCAGGCCCTGGGTGGAAGGGTCTGGGTGGATTGCAATTAGCAATTGGCAGACTGCAATTAACACCTTCCTTTGTCCTATTTTCACTATATGAATAATTAGCATAAGTAATGTATGTTTTGCTGTAATTCTGATATTAACCAAATACCTTAGAGAACCCAGGAATTCAAAGAAACTGGACTTTTAGTGATGAAAATGCTTGGAATAGCCTTAAGCAGAACTGTTACAGCACTATGAGCAGTTATTTCAGTAAAATCAAAGATTCTTCCTCCCTGCCCCCTTATAAACCTAAACATATTTTGTTCAGCTCTCTCTGCTGGGGTTCTAGTCGTGCAGTGATGAGGAAATAATGGACTTATTTGGGTAATTGAGAATTGGATCACTTAAAGCCTAAACTATGTTTAATATTTCCCTTGCTGCTCCAAAAAAAACCACACCACCTTCTAAAGAACAATAAACTATGTCTTTTCTTTTTGTGTGTGTGTGTGGAAGGTAGCCAACAGCAAGTTGTGGCATAAGTTAGGGGAGAGATTACAGACAGAAAACGGGCTGGCTATTGCTAAGCAGCTAAATTTGAGGTAACCTTTCTTGCAGGAAACTGTTGGCTGTACAAATGCTGGATTGAAGGGTGTGGGACCCAGCAGTAACTTTCCAGGAAAGCAGAGGAATTGGGTCTTTTTCACAGTCTAATTTAAGAATTGTGAGAACTTTCTGTATTATGTAGGGCAAATTTGTGTTATATTTTTTAATTTTTATCACAGTATTAGCACAAATGCATGCATAAAAGTATTAGGGGCAAGAAACTGTTAAGATAGCTTAACAAAATTATGGATGAAATAGATGTAGCACAGAATAGAACTTCAGAAGTAAGTCAATTTAATGATACACATGGGATGATATCAGATTAATCTTCTTTAGAATCCCATTTTCTCAAAATTACAGAAGTTTTAATGTATGTTCATCAGTGACATCACCTGTAGCCTGTCCTCTTCTGATGCACATACTGATCCTAATATTAAATTACTCTCTCCCAATGCTCAACTCTTACTGGTGTGAGAAGTGTTTACAAGTTGTTTTTGAATGTGGTCACTTGGTTCCTTGATGTTTCCTACCTCTTGATATATAAAAATATCCTAATGAAATGTTGAGGTTTTTTTTCCTTAGTGTTATTTATTAGTTATCACTATGCACTCTTGTTCTATAAATGGCAAGTGTTTTGACTGGCTGCTTGTTTCCAGAAGAAGCTGTTTCAGGGCTGGTGTACGCTACTATGTAAGAGGTAAAATAGCAAAATTTTTTATTTATTTTAAAATAATGTGAATTCCATCTATACATGTGACTTACCCTTAAGAGTATTTGCTGTATAATGACTCGAACAAAAACATGCTTTTAATAGTTTGTCTCAAGGAGTTCTTAATCCAAAGAAAATATTAGGAACCTGTATGATGAACTGAAGCATTTTCTGGTAGTTATTAAAACTGACATTTCTTTATTCCAAATAAAGATAACTGCAAAAAGTCTCATAGAAGTTTTTAACACTTTACTGGTCTTACTGGAGTTAAATGCAAGTAATAGCCATTCTGGCCTAGCAGTAAATTCAACTAAGGCCATCATTGGTGCTGGTAGGGGAGCCCTGAATAGTTATGCTCTCTAATTGTTTCAAGTTAAAAAGTGAACAAGGAAAAGGATTTAAATCACTTCCTCTGTTCACAGTCCCAGCATATATGCTCTTGAAGAAATTGCTTAGTTTCTGCAGTACCATTGCTATTGAATTGTGAATATTTCAGTGTCAAAGCACTTGTATTTTATTTTGTTTTGAACTCCTCCATTTCTAGGACTATAAATACAAAAATGTGTTAAATGCAATTGTGCTTCAAGTTAAATTTGGTGCAGATCATGTTAAACTTTTGTCCCAGGTGTTTTATTTACCATCATCAGGTAGCTGTGTGGTATTTCTGGGAGCACTTAAAAGGGAAGGGTAGAAAGCCTTTTGCTGATTAAACTATTGCTGTTCTGCACCAGTCTGAGCTGGTTAACAAGGTCTTTTTCCTACATAGGTATTGATTCAGAAGGACATGCTGCTAACTTTGTTGAAACAGAACAAATTGTGCATTACAAGGGGAGCAAAGCATCTTTTGTTCAGGTAAAGTCAGCGTAAGGAACTGCTCACTGGCTTAAGAGAGAGATAGCTAGCTCTGTCTGTACTTGTAAATATAGTTTATATATAAGATGTGCATGTGCACAAATAAACTAAACCAATCTGCTTTATTTTTAAATGGCAAGTGAGTTCATAAGTTCTTATTGCTTAATACTATTCACATTCTTTTGCAGACCCGTGGATCAATTCCTTTTTTCTGGTCTCAAAGACCAAACCTCAAGTATAAACCAAAGCCACAGATCAGCAAGTCAGTAAATCATGTATGTGAGTGTTTGTTGTGTCTTGGGGTTTTAATATATTTCTGGGCTCATGTTTGTGTGATAGGGTAACAAACTGTAATCAGAAGAATAAAAATCATCAATATTTGATTAAGCTTTATGTTTTAAAAGTAGTAGCAAGAAGCCTTGTGCTCCCTCAGATGAGTTCAGAGCCTGAAAAAAAAATCCAGACATCAATGGGGGGTAGCTTCTCTTTGGTTCTTGTTTGCAACAGTTCTGGTATACTCCTTATCTGTGGCTTGTTTAATAAGGAGAGCTGAATGGACTGGGGGGATGGAAGCAGAAATGTGTTTGCACAATAGAGAACATCAAACACTTTTCTTAGCTAAAAAGCTGCCTATGCGGGATCATAAAAAAGATGATTATAGAGTTTTCTTGTAAATCAGAGATCTTAATAGTAGCATACATCTGTCAACACATTTCCTTTCTCTTCTAGATGGATGGCTTCCAAAGACATTTTGACTCGCAAATTATTAGCTATGGAAAGCAAATGATTGTCAACTTGGTATGCTTTCACTTTTTCTTCCTGAAAAAGCTGTTGTTCTTCTAAGCAGGCTTTTGAGTAATACTGTCTGTCTTTTTTTTTTTCCCCTTTTCTTTCTCCCAGGTCAACCAAAAAGGTTCAGAGAAACCTCTTGAGCAAACGTTTGCAAAAATGGTAAACAGCATGGCAAATGTAATGGTCAGGTATGTGTGAAGTGAAATACATTTCTGTGTTAAGCATTGCCTCTGAAACCCACGGAGTGATCAGCTCCTTGGGGGCTTTTAGCAACTGTCCAATTTGTTTGAGTTTTATTTTTATGAAATAAGGGCATTGGTCATATGCAAGTTACCTCAGAGCTCACATTCTAAGCAGGAGTGGGACTGAAGTGAATACAGGACAAAGAGGGGAGATAGAATAAAGAAGGGAGCTCAGAAGCAATGGTAATGCCAGTTTGGAGTAATAGTATGCTGTGAGAACTGTGGAGATCTGCATTTTAGGAAAAAGAAATCATGCCCTGTAGTGTACTGGCTTCTGGCAAAAGGGCTTGGTTCCTTTGCTGCCTTAGTAAAGGGAGCGCTGAGTGTGAGCAAACCTGTGTAGAGGTAAAGGAGGAAACAGTAAGGGGAACATGTAATTTAAATGTCTGGCCTCGGTGTGACAATGGGCCAAGAGGGTAGAGAATCACAAAAGAAATTCCATTTCTCTGTGTGAATCTTGAATGTAGTACACAATTTTACAACCTGCCTGCGCTTGCTTTCATTAACTTCTAGAGGGAGGGCAAGCATCCAGCTCCCACAGACCTCTACCTTTTCCTTAAAATTGGTGTATAGTATTATTGTCACTCGTGTATGTCAAAGGACAAAATCCCACTTGTAAGCAAAGGCACCCTGTTTTAATAAGGATTCCCTTCTGTCTAAGGAAATGCAGAGTATAATTAAGATGCCCCCTAAATCCTGACATACTTTGAATTTTTTTCCAAGCTTTTTTCTGCTAAATGATGCCCTGCTGCTGCCTTCATCAGGGTAGTTACAGATGTTTGTCTCACTTCTGTGCTTTTACTGCTCTTGGGGCTGTGTTTGTGTTGCTGCTGGTGGTGGTGGATTTTCTTTTTTTATTAAAAAAAGACTGCTTCTAAGGTGAGCCCTATCCTCACTGTCACTGGTATTGATACTTTAGCTGCACAAAGCTTGTGGAATTCTGTGCATCTTAGCTATACAATCATCTGATGGAAATCAAGATGTAAAATTCTGTCAGGGTGTGCTTTAGTGATGCTTGTTGGGCTGTATATGTTAAAAAGCAGTGTTTGTCAGCCCTGCTTTCTTAATGCTGCCAAAATCCTTTTTCTTTGTTAATTAGTTTTGATGGCATTTACCTGGCAGACTAAGATTTGAGTCTCCAGTGCATATATGCCATCTTTCTTCACACAAATATTAGTTGCCAAGTTTTCAAGACTTACTTTTGGATTATAAATGCTTGAGGGGAGGAATGTAATGCCCTGTAATTCACAGCCAATGTGTATGTATAAATATATATATATTGAACCAAACACCCCTCATTTAGAGCACTTTTTACCAGAAATGAAATAGCTGTTAAAATCTTGTTCCAAGTCAGTAGCTGTTTAATTTTCTTATGACAGAGTAGGTTAGCTGTCTAAACAGAACCTGTCTCAGGTTTCTAGAGAGCTGTCAAGGGAATGATGCTGCGTGCCAACAAATAATGTTGCATTTCAACACCTGTGTCTCTTTCAAAGTGAACTGAAGCTCCCAATGCAGTTGCTTGGAAAAGAGGAGGGCAAAAGAATCCTGGTGGGGGGAAAAAAGAGATTAAATGAGATGCATATCCCTTCTATAGTGTCTGGAGGTAAAATACTAGCCAGAATGTAGAATGAGTAACTTGGAACTGAATGTGTGCTTCTCCAGACTAGTGCCATATTGTAAAGAAATGTAAATGCTGTCACTGTGCACGCTAAGGGTGCAGCCTCAGGAGGATTACAGAGCACTGACAAAATCCACGGGTACCTGCTGGAAGCCGTCTCTAAAGAAAAATACCTGTTTTATAGATCAGCCCTTCCCTGTGGGGTTTTCTGAGACCTTTGCTGCAGTATATATGTAATCTAAAAAGATGCTTCTCTCTGAACAGATATGTAGCATTTGACTTCCATAAAGAGTGCAGTCGGATGAGGTGGGATCGACTTCAGATTTTGATGGATCAACTAGCAGAACAGCAAGATGAATTTAGGTAAGGCTCTTCAGTTCTCTTCTCTAAAAATGAGGCCACTTTCTCATGGTTTTTATTGTCTTGAGTTAAGGCACACTAAACAAGACCTGTAAGTTTCTATAAAGAAGATGCATTCATATGTATTTCCATATCTCCAATATCTTGTGGATACCATATGCAAGGTTAGAGACCTGGTCATGGGTAAGATGCAGATCCCTTCTTATGTCCCAGTAAAATGGTGCTCAGAATCATAGCAACCCTGTGCTGAGACTCCAGAGCTGCCTTTGTACCTCTGGGTAAAAAGTGAGATAGTTGTATGCACACTCGTTTCTCTGAAGCTATTAAAAAAAAGACTTCTTGGGTGATATATTTTTCATCCAAGAATAATTCCATGTGTTGTCGACAGCAAACTGTTCTGCTATAGTGTCCTCGGTGCTCCTTCCACAGACACCTGCTCTCTTTTTAATTAAAAAGTTTCTCTAGTACACATTTTGTGGCACCAAACCTTGGCACCGATTGTTGGCCCTTGCTAACATAAGTAACCCACAAGGAAATAAATTCTCATTTTGTTTAGTCATATAAGGTCAGTTTGGACATCTCGTCTAATTTAAACCTTTGTTTAATCACACAAGTGTGGTGTTATAAGTGCTTCTTTGTCTTTGCTACTTGTAGGCATATAGATTGTTAGGGGAACTGTTTACTTTGTTCTGCTTTTCTGATTGCTTCCTTCCTGTTCCTAAAGTCTTGTGCCTAAAGCACAAAGTAGATCAACGAAAACATTACAAAATTGGCAGTGGTATATTCTGTCCTAAAAAAAAAAAAACAAACAATGAGATGAGCTGTGAACTAGGAGTCCACATGAATTTCATATGAATGAAATATCTTGCCTGGAATTAAGGCTGTAGAAATTGTATAAATTAATCAGATGACAGTGAATATTCTCTATGTGCCACAAAAAAAAGCCTAAAAAACACCTGAAGAGCTGAAGAATAAATAGGTTTTGAGCAGTTTGAATCAAAAGAAATAAGCATGTAGGTTTGCTGTTACAGCAAAGATCCTTTATTCTTAGAACTGCGTCACCAAAAAAAAGCCTAAAAAACACCTGAAGAGCTGAAGAATAAATAGGTTTTGAGCAGTTTGAATCAAAAGAAATAAGCATGTAGGTTTGCTGTTACAGCAAAGATCCTTTATTCTTAGAATGAATCCTGAATCACATAGTTTGTTCACTGTCACCTGCCATTGGAGGCTCACAAAAGAGCCAGGTTTCCTTGAAACAAAGGTGGGGGGAAGGCTATGTGTCTCAAACAAGATAGAAAAAAATGAAGACTTTTCCTCAAGATTAGGTTGGCAGCTCTACCTTGAGCTTAGTTTTGTTTCATTTATGATGGCTCTTGTTTAAATAGGAACAGAAAAGTCCGAGTTCTGATATTTAGAACATAGTTGTGCAGCCCTGTGGGATGTAAATAGTCTATGGCAGTAGACAACTGTTTTCTGCAAGTTAAATCCAGTTGTGAAAGAACTGTCAGAAAGGAGAGCTGGCTTGCTGGGTTTGGGGGATTGGCAGGGGGGTTGGGTTTGGTGGAGGTGTTTTGTTTGATTTTAATTTTTTTAGAGCAATTATAAGAGATGCAATACTTAAACTATCTTATTGACCAGAAATAACTAGTGTAGTTGAAGAGTAGATATCCTAATACCAGTTCTAGGCAAAGCTTGGAGGGAGAAGGGGAAAATGAAGATTTCACAGGTGTTACTGTCTCCTTTAATCATACGATGTAAAATGTGGTGTAACAAAACTAGTTCTCCAAGAATTACAAAAATTGGTCTTGTTTAATACAAGGCTGATCAAAGTAAATGCATATGCTTCTAAGTATCTTTAGTATTGCATGACTCTAAGCCTTTATACTCTTAAAATGCTGTATAATAAGTGGATCACATGCTAGTCCATATTCAAAGTTCATAATTACATAATGGAGTAGCTTAATCAACAGAATATGATCTGTAAATCTTCAGGCAACTTGACGTTTAATGCTGTGGCAGAAGTATGGTTCTGTCCCATTCACACATCAAACTGATAACTTCATCAGCCTATTTATTTTAGCAGCTCTGTTACTAGAATGCTTGCAATTTGGTATTTAAAATGACCTGTTTGTTATCAATTTCTAGAAATACCTGGTTTAGTTTATTAAAAAGATTGAGGTAACAATTAGCATATACTCTTAAAATGCTGTATAATAAGTGGATCACATGCTAGTCCATATTCAAAGTTCATAATTACATAATGGAGTAGCTTAATCAACAGAATATGACCTGTAAATCTTCAGGCAACTTGACGTTTAATGCTGTGGCAGAAGGACAAGTATGGTTCTGTCCCATTCACACGTCAAACTGATAACTTGATCAGCCTATTTATTTTAGCAGCTCAGTTACCAGAATGCTTGCAATTTGGTATTTAAAATTACCTGTTTGTTATAAATTTCTAGAAATACCTGGTTTCATTGATTAAAAAGATTGAGGTAACAATTAGCATATGCAGTAGCAAGAGGGAACATCTGGTTCCCCCAGATCTTCACATAATGGAGAGAAGAGTAAGTGACAGCAGTGCAGATTTTTCAGTAGTGGCCTTAAAGACTGGAATACCTTCCTGGAAGAAGCGTCCCTGACAGCTTATAGTGACTTTTTATGTGGTGGTGACCAAATTGAACCCAGTGACCAAGTATATATAAATCTGGTTACTTCTGCCATTAAACTCTGCTAATGATCGTGGTCTCTGTGGAGCTAGGACCCTACAATGACTGGAAAAAAAAAAGTTGCTGATTTAGCACCAGAAGCTGTTCTTCCCAGTGGCATGTAACTCAGTATTGCTGGTTGGCTGTCTGAATTATAAGAGTGAGAACTGTCCTGAGATTACTAAATGTTTATGATTGATGCTGTTTTTCAGCACAGGAGGGGAAGAATTCAGGGAGGCATCAAAGTTCAGAGACATGGCTAAGAACTCTTCCCATGCTCAAGACAACTGTGTTTTGGTTGCTAGAATATTTACATCTGATTTACATATGTAGTGATATCTATAAATACTTAAGTGGATTGTATGTGTTAGTTATTTTCTAGTGGATTCCGATGGCAAAATTGTGACTCAGCAGGAAGGAATATTCCGCAGTAACTGCATGGACTGCCTTGATCGAACGAATGTGATTCAGAGCTTGTTAGCACGCCGCTCTCTTCAAGCCCAGCTTCAGGTAAATGTTCTTGTATAACAATCTGGAAGAGGAAAGTGGCTTTCTGTTTGGAATGGAAATGTCATTTTAACACTTCAATAAGAGCTTGCATACATGAGTTACTGCACTACTTTCCTGAAATGCCTTGGCCAGACTCTAGTTTAATAAATACAGCTTTTTCTGATAGCAAATCCTGATTTTTCTAGCGAACTACTAGTAAGCTTCACTGCATGTTTTGTTTCAGAGGCTAGGTGTTCTGCATGTTGGACAGAGAATTGAAGAGCAAGCAGACTTCGAGAAAATCTACAAAAATGGTAGGCTGTTTATAGAGTTCAAACAATCACTTTTTTTTTTCTGAACAGAGTACATAACTTCCTTAATCTTTCTTAATGTTTTCCTATTCACAGCATGGGCTGATAATGCAAATGCTTGTGCCAAACAATATGCTGGAACCGGTGCCTTAAAGACAGACTACACAAGGCAAGTCAGCCTTTCTTGTAAAGGCCCTCTGGGTTTTTGGGCATGTCTGGCATTTTCTTTAAGTCTTTGTATCTGAGAAGGTTATTAATTTGGTGCTTGGACTGTTAATGAGTTTTTTGGTGGTTCAACTGCTAAAAAGTCACACTAAAATCTACGGAAGTTCTTCACTATGTTTATGTGAAAGGAGAAAAGCATATCTGGAAATAAAACCAAAAAATACACCTCTTCAAGGCACATCTGTATTTGTGGGATGGAGAGAAGTGTGATTTTTACTTTCAGACTGTTACAAGTATGTGTGATAATAATGCAGAGACAGCACTAGATAAATGTATTTACATGCAGGTATTCATTAAACATAGCATACATTTGAACAATGAAAGAACTGCAAATCTGAAATTATCTTCCTGACTTTATAAATCAATTTTAAATGTTTTTTTAAACTTCTTGCAGAACTGGGAAGAGAACTCAGTGGGGCCTAATAATGGATGGCTGGAACTCATTAATACGTTACTACAAAAATAACTTCTCTGATGGATTTAGACAAGTAAGATTGACTTTTAACTGTGGGGAAATATATTTGATGAACATTGTTGTGCGTTTTAACTTTGGCTTTCTGCTTCTTGTCCAGGATGCAATTGATCTTTTTCTTGGAAATTATTCAGTGGATGAAGTAGAACCTGCTAGTCCTCTACATGTCAAGAAAGATTGGAAGTTCTTAGCTGTGAGTATGGAGACTTTATTCATGATTGGAGAAACACATACAGTTTTCTAGTCACTTGCTTCACATGACTAAGTAGAACTTGTCTATTTAGTAATGAAGCACCCCTATAATCTGGTTGTATTTCTATAATACCTGCTTGTAGGACTAAACCCAGACTGTTTTCTTGACAGAAAAAGGAATGTCCCTGAGGTATTGAAAAAACTGCTGCTTGCTTCTTTTTTAAAAAAAAAAACTGCTTCAAGTTGAAAGGGAGAAATCCTACCATTTAAAAAAAACAAACGTGCTTCAAGTTGAAAGGGAGAAATCCTACCAGTCACCATCAATGACTGTTTCCTTCTGCAGAAGAAACTTGTCAAGATATCTTCTCATACTTCATGCAGAAGCATAGACTGTAACACAAAAAAAACCTTTTTTTTTTTTCCCCTCCCTTCTTTTTCGTGAAATGGGATTTGGGGACACTATGGGTTTCAGTCACCATCAATGACTGTTTCCTTCTGCAGAAGAAACTTGTCAAGATATCTTCTCATACTTCATGCAGAAGCATAGACTGTAACACAAAAAAAACCTTTTTTTTTTTTTTTCCCCTCCCTTCTTTTTTGTGAAATGGGATTTGGGGACACTATGGGTTTAATTAGTGGCTGGTGCATTTTTGTTTTGGTGTTTTTTTCTTAAAATAACAAAACACAAACCTCTACCTCCTTTAATAGATGGGTGCATTTTAATTCTTAACCTAGTTATTGAACACTCTTCCAAATTTTGGAACTAGTAAAAATTTTAGTTGTACCTGACACAGGTGCATCAGCAATTAAAGTAACTTTATTGCAAAGCAAGTAAATAGCTTTATAGTACAGCCTATCTGAAAGGAAATTAAGGAATATATGTGCTACTATATCAAGTGATTACTCTTTTTCTCTTTCCCCAGTTGCCTATTATTATGGTGGTTGCTTTCTCCATGTGCATTATTTGTTTGCTAATGGCTGGTAAGTCACTGAGTTTCATTTCACAAAATTAGCTTGCTTGTGTGTGGACTTCTTGTAAATGGCTACCAGTATAAAATTGCTTTTCAGTCATTCTTAAAGGTGTGTAAGTGTGGCTCTGGAGATTGGGGGTTAGCACTATATCATTACTATGGAAAAACCTGAGCTACTATAGAAAACAGTGTTAAGTCACTTAAGGGGCAGTAATTGCCCCCAAATTTAGATGGCCCTGAACAGACATCTAGGTTTATTGCAGGCTGGAGGAATCCCCAGAAGAATACCTACCTAATTCTGGGCAGAGAAAACAGTTTGGGCAAGTAAGATACAGGGTTATGCCTGTTCTGATAGATTTGGATTAGGGGGACATCTGTAGTGGGAGCTGTGAAGGTTTTTGCCTTCTGCATTTGCCTTGAATTTTCTAACATCAGAACCAGTAGAGTTCTTGACTCTGACTTCTGTAGTTGTCTGTTAAAAATATTCTAAGAACTGTGTGGCAAACGCAATTTTTTCTAGGTAAGGAAAAGACAAGACCCCAGTAGGCATGAAGGGCTTCTAACTTCATTTGGCAGCAGATCTCTGAGGGAGGGCTTGAAATATTTTGCTTTCATACTAAAAAAACCACCACCTTTCTCTGGTATTGGAGCTGATGAACTAAAATGTTTATCTGACTTAACAGGTGATACATGGACTGAAACACTGGCCTATGTGCTTTTCTGGGGAAGTGCAAGCTTTGGAACTTTTGCTATCATCCTTTACAATGGCAAGGATTTTGTAGATGCACCCAAGCTTGTCCAGAAAGAGAAGATGGACTGAATTTGTGTGTGTGGAAAGCGGCTTGGTACTGAGGATTCCTCAAGCCACACCTGGAGTCTCTACTGACCTGCTTTCCACACCAAACAGTGGTCTTTTTAATATTCTTCCTTGGCAACGGGGTGGGGGGGGGGCTTGGGGGAGAAAACCATGTCTGGTGGTGGTGGTAGCTTTCAGCTGAGACCTGACTCGACAGTCAGTCGCAATGGTCTTTGGAATATTGCATTAGTGGAGGGGGCTCTGCTCTTACTGAGGTAATGCAAAGATGAAAGATTGAAAGCCAGCATTTTGGTGTCTGGAGTGTTTACGGGCTTAAGTGGACTGCTTAAGCTCATAGTCCAGCTGGGCTGCTTCTGCTGAATTTTTGGTCTGTGTCTTGACAGGAGAGAGCTCTGATGCCGTTTGTCAGAAAAACCCAGGTGTTGGATAATGGAGCTTCTAATTGTGGTCTCTGAACAAATATGGCTTCATACCAATAAAAAAAAAGTCTAGTTCCGTGATTTACAGCTGGATTACATTTGTTGTGATAAAGTCCATGTTATGGAGTCCTTCGTGCATATTTGTGTGTGGATTCTGTTCACTAAATATAAAAGATTTTTGAGTCCTAATGCTCCTCTAAAATGAGCTTTTTTTTGTCCTGTCTTGTTTATCTAGGACTGATGCAATATTCTACTAATCATTGTTGAGGTGAAAGGACAGTGTAATTGGATGTTCCTGAAGTTGCAAATGTCTTGCACTGTTTCAATACTACAGTCTCCAGGTGATTCACTAGTTAGCGAGTTAAAATACAGAGTTTTCTTTCTAAAGATGTAAATTAAATCAAAGAATGTAAAAATCCTTTGCAGTGTTTATTGAACCTTCCTTATGCTAAAGGTCCAAAGTATTCCATTACTTTAAGAATGGGTCACAACGTAAAAGGTGAACTTCATATTGTTTTGCTAGTCAGCTGCTTCCATTCTTCTGTTGAAATAATTTATGAAAGAAGGAATAACAACATGAGAGAGAGCATTTGGTCTAAGCTCCATGTTTGCACTTGGAAGCAGCAGCTTGCTTTTCATGCATGATACTGTAACACATTCTTTAAAAAAAAAAAAAGGAAAAAAGCTACAGAATCATAGAATAATTTGTGCTGGTTAATAATAAATGTGTGTCTTTACATTTAGTGCTTCCAAGCTGTATAAAAATAAGTAATCCTAATCAAGGACCAATTTTAAACTATTTTGTCACTTATTTTATATGGTTTGTTCAAAACCAGACATGGAACTTGCTTAAGGCGCTGTGCATTGTTTAATATTTCCTGTAAGTACAGCTGTATATTCAGATTGCAGTTATAAAATTTAAACAGGGGGGAAGGGAGAAACATGTAGAATACTAGAACTAGCGCAGTTGTCACTAGTGAAGCCAGAACACAGAACACTGATGCTCCAGTGTTTCCTCGTGTTATGACTGAAAATATGTACAGATTTTTGCAGCTATTTAACCGTTCATTTTAACCTTGAATGTTTCTGGAGGCCTCTCTGGGTTTTGTGTAAACATAACCTGTTCATAAGCACTAGTACTTGCAAAGTATCCATTTGCTTCTAGATGCTGTAATGGAAATGCCAGTTGCCCGTTAACTGGAAAAATCCTCTAACTTAAAATTTTTCAAAGATGAACTCCATTATGGGCACAAAATACAAGAAAACCATAGAATTGGTATTTAAAGGTAATGGTTTTGATGGCTCACTGGCAGGTGGTGTTTGAAACTCGGTTCAGTTGTCTTGCAAGTCTACAACTAAATCTTTGCATCTTTGAAGAACTTCTTGCAGCAAAGACCAAACTTGAATCGCTAATACAAAAGGTTTGGAAGACGTAGAGTAGTGTAGGTTTTAGAAGTTGGAAGGCACCTGTATTTCAGTGCTTTGCAAAGAGTCTGTACTTCTGAGATCACAAATGGTGTACTCATAAATGACAATAAAATGTTCAACTTTTCTAGATACACTGTCTGTGGTGCATTTTGTGCTTTGGAGTGGACTCTTCCCAAATTGATCCTTAGGAGCCGTTTCTCACCAGAAGGATGCTTTGGTTTTGGATCTGCTTGTGGCAGGTGAAGATTTGGTTATTCTGTGCTTCAATATTTATGATCTTGCACTGTACCATATGTGAGAGCTGGCAGTTCCAGTCTTTGTTGCCAGTCCAGATCCCAGTCTGAGAACTGCTGTGTCTGGATTTCTCTGATGCTTAATCATCACCTCTGCTCAGTACCGGTGGCTCTTTACTTCCCCCTTCGGGGGGGCTTCAGGGGTTTTTATTGCCTATAATAGGTACTTGGTGAGAAGATTTAACTCGTCTTCTCCCTGTCTGTCCCTCATTTTAGGCACCCACCAGCTGGATGCACAGGGGCTCACTCCTCCAAGAGTGGCTTAGTTATGTCAAGCAAACTTTCAAGCTGCACTCAGCCCTGCTCCTTAATTCATTGGTTTATTTTCCATGGTTGTATTGCAGTATGTTAGACAGTCGACTGCAAACCTGAACTTGAAATGTGCCTGCCCAAATGCAGAGGTTCTGAGATGGGTCTGTCTGAAATAATAGCAGGAAGAGACTGGTGTGTCCAAAATAATAGTGGGAAGAGGCTGAAGTGGTGGGGCCTCACTAACTGACTAGGTTCCCACACTTAGCCAAAATTTTTACTTTAAGTGTTAGAATTGTTACTTAAACGTTAACATTTTGTATCATGGAGTGGTAAGTTCTCTAAATGAATCACAGGATTGCCTAGGTTGGAAGAGACCTTTAGGACCCTCTGTATCCCTAAGCACTGTGTCTGTGCTTCAACCACTTCCCTGGGCAGCACGTTCCAGGGGTTGATAACCCTTTCAGGGGAAACATTTTTCCTAATATCCAATACAAAAAATACTTGGAACTAATTCTGCCAGAAACGTAGGGCGGGAGTAGGTGTGTAACCTTAGGAGAAACCTGGCTCTCACAGGCCGCTCGCCCCTTCCCTCCCGCCGCCATTTTCTTCCTTCCTTCCTCCCTCCCTCCCTCAGTGCGCGCCCGTGTCGCCCCGCGCATGCGCCGTCCCCCCCGGGGTGAGGGGGCGCTCCTGGCCCCGCCCCTTCCGCCCATTCATCGCCGTCGACGGCGGCCGCTTCCTGGCGCCAGCGGCGAGGCGCGGCGCGGCCTACTCGGAGGAGGCCTCGCACCGCCCGCGCCTCGGGGCCTTCTCCCCCGCGGGGCGGCCGCCGCTCCCTGCCCGAGGCCGCCCGGCCGCAGCGCCGGCCTCCCGCCGCCATGAAGCTCGTCAGGTGAGCGGATGGAGGCGGATTGACGGGCGGCGCCGAGGCAGCCCGCGCGCTCAACGGCCGCCGCCCTGAGGGCCTCCTGGCGGGGGTCCCCTCCCTCACCCCCGGCCGGTGGGCCGTGAGGCGGCGGGGCCCTGCCGAACCCCGGGTGGCGGCGGCCCAGCCGTTCGCCTTGCAGGGCCGGGGCGCGGGGTCAGGCGGCGGCGGGGGCTGGGCCTGCGCGGGCTCCTCAGTAAAACCACCCTTTCTGAGCGGGGAAAACCCCCCCCACCCGGGTTGGGTTAGAGTTACCTTCCCGAGGGGATAACAAGCTCCAGAGCCTTGCCGCCTTTGTTCGGCAGTGGCTGGGTGCGTCTCGCAGGGTTCAGTCGGGGCTCTGCTGGGGGTTCGGGCCTCGCTGGGGTGTCGGGCCTTGCCAGGCGTCTGTGGCAGAGCCCCGGAGCTCTGGGAGCGCTGTGGTTGGCAGCTCGGGGTGTGAATACCTGCCCCTTACTGTTTTTCAGGATGTTAAACGCATAAGGCTTTACGTGAGAACGAACAATTACTTTGTTTTTTTTTAATTTTAGGTTTCTAATGAAGCTGAGCCATGAGACTGTGACCATTGAACTGAAGAATGGGACGCAGGTGCATGGAACCATCACAGGTATGTCGGGATGGAAGAGGGCAGGGAGGTCCTGCCCGTTACATTCTGCTAACAGTTGGCAGCTGTGGTTCCGACTGAGCTTTTTTGCTTCGCACTCCCTCTTGTGGGGACCTTCTGTGTAAAACGCGGGAGGCGTTCCTTGTAATTTACATCTTTGTGTACAGTTCTTTGTAATTTGCATCTTTATGTGCAAGCTTAAGGCGTGTTTGTTGTAGAAGAGCCTGGATGTTTGCGGGAGTTGCTGGGAGGCAGTAAATTCGCTGTAGTCTGGGAGCCTCTCAGCCTGACTGCAGGCTCTGCTGACAGACAGCCTCGGGGGCAAGGAAATAAACTCCAAGCTGGTGTGAGCGTGGTGTTCTTTTAGAGAGTTTAGAAGCACGATGATACCCGTGAGGGTGTTTCACTGCCCTTTAAAACTGGCAGTGGATATACGGCTAAATTTTTACAAGGCGTTTCAGTACATCTGACTTTTGTTTGTGAAATTGTAATGAGGTGTGGTCACCTAAAAACCTTACAGCTGAATTGCCGGAAGAGGGTGGACTGTTCTAACGGTAGTACAGATAAATGGCAAACATTAAGTGTTGGTTTGGGCTTAAATCGGTTAAACTCTGTGCGTAGGCGTTCTAATCTACAAATGAATTATTTTTGCTGTGGTTAAGGTGAATCTCTATGGAAATGCATCTCATGTACTTGCATTGATGTCATGAAAGCGATATGAAAACAGGCAGAATGGAATCCTGGTGTCAAGAACCTGGCACCCTGCTGTTACCAAGTGTCTGTCGCATCATATAAGTTTGTGGGTGTTACTGTCTCTTGGGTGCTTCCTTGTGTCCCTGAACTGATAGTTGCAGAAAAAGCCTTGATTATTCGTTGTATGGTTCTCGTATGTATTGAAAAACAGGTGGACTGTTTTGTTTGCTCTAATGCTATTAGTGAGGGGTGTTGCTCTGAGAACGCTCGTGTTGGCGTTACTTTAGAGATGAGCTGTGTGTAGGGGGGGCTCCATATTTAATGATGCAAACCCTACAGTGAAGTTGATGAAGGTGCTTGATGTCCTTTCCTTCACTCAACCCAGGCTACTTTTAGAAACTTTTATGTCCATTATAAAACTTGGCAGAGCTGTATTCCACGGGATCACTTAGGTGCTTTTTTGGCCAGTAGTGGTCTGCTGAGATTTGGCAGTCAAAAACCGGCGTTGTTTTGCAGCTGGATCCCTCAGCTTTGATACTTTTATGTCCATTATAAAACTTGGCAGAGCTGTATTCCACGGGATCACTTAGGTGCTTTTTTGGCCAGTAGTGGTCTGCTGAGATTTGGCAGTCAAAAACCGGCGTTGTTTTGCAGCTGGATCCCTCAGCTTTGATAAGATACACCCTGTACCTGATTGCAGCGTGCTCTGTTGAACCCAGCGAGGTAGGGAGCAAACAAACTGCCTGTCTCCTCACCTCGGTGCTCCTGCAGGCTTCACTGTTGAGCAAATTCTCATTTTCTGCTAGGAATCTGTAAAAACTTTGAATGTAACCCGTGTTTCTAAAGTAACGATCTTCCCTTTGCACTGATGTGTGAATTATGTTAGTAATTGCTGTGCTGTCTGCAAATCAGACAGTCCCCTTTTCCTCCTGGGCTGTCGGTTGAAGAGGTGGGTTTCATGCATTACAGAAACCAAGGGGGCTGGTCAGGTGGGGTGCAGGTCTCAGAGGACAGAAAAATATATGGAATAAGCACAGCATAATTGGTTCTCCTGGTTCTGGCCTGCTACTCACTTATGTTATTTGTATAACATACTTACGTATAAGGCATCGTGCAGCTTGTCTTTCTGTGTTAATGAAATGAGACAATATTTATTTTTACCACAAAGGGTAGTTTGTAGAGAAGTTTGAACACACACGCACACACACACACAATTTTGCTTATGTAGGTGCCCTGTCACTGAATTAGCAGGTGTTTAGAAACTATGATTCCCGTCTTTTGCCTAAATTTTTTACGTGAAAAATTTACTCCTTTTGATCTTCACCATTTGAGCTCAAATCCCATGCAAGACTTGTGATATGTAAAATAAAAATTATTATAGGCATTTCAGGGCTGTTATTCAATACATGCATTCAGCTGAGACTTTATTCTAGTTTTAGATAGTTTATTACTGCCTCATGGGCACGGTGCTGACTGCGTACAGGTCTTACAGCTGGCTGGTCATGGGAGTTTCTAACCCATGTTAGAAACTGACCAATTGTTTCTTGCATTTTACATCCTTTAATAGAAGGTATCACACTAGTATTAGAGGTATTTTATTAGAAAATAAATACTTATTTGGACGTTGGAGTTTTTCTAAGGCTTACAGAGAGAGGAAATGATCAGGTTATTTTTCCTCAAAGGTTTGTTCTGCTTCTTTTTAAAAGAGTTAAAAGCCTAGTATTGGACTTTGTAATAAGCAGCAGTTCATTTGTTATTCAAAGGAGTTGTTTTAACCATTTACAAAATTGCTGCAAAGGCAGCGATTGATAAATTAGTGAGCATAATTTAAGAGAGAGAAAGGCATGTCGTTTCCTTCAGAGCTGAATTAATGAATGGCAGAAGCAGGTATTAATGAACAGGATAAATCTTGAAGCACGTGCATACCTAGATAGGCAACAAGGGACTGTTTTGTAGGTGTTCAGCCCTGAGGTCAGACTGTGTTGTTTCAGGAGTGGATGTCAGTATGAACACGCATCTCAAAGCGGTGAAAATGACGCTGAAGAACAGAGAGCCCGTACAGCTGGAGACCCTGAGCATCCGAGGGAATAACATCCGCTACTTCATTCTGCCCGACAGTTTGCCTCTGGATACCTTGCTAGTGGATGTGGAACCAAAAGTCAAATCCAAGAAGAGAGAAGCAGGTCAGTTTGTGCTTTCCTGGTCTGTTTGTTCTGCCTTTGTGTGCATGTTAGTACTCTGAAGCTGAAGGCGGCTGATTTCAGTGTCTTAATATCTGTGTTTGGCAGCAAGTTATTTCATCTTTGAGGGTTTGACACTGGAGTGGCTAAGTCTGCCTTGCCCACCTTCTGAGCCAGCTTTCTTTCCTGTGAAATTACATGTATGGCTTTTCATGCACCTGTTTTTAAAAACGTAAATGTTTTTAGGCTTGAGTAAATGTTAACCTGTCACAGTCTCCATCCACACCGACACCAGGGATTTACGTTTCCTCTTACCAAATGTCTGCCATGTTTCCCCAGTTTAGATGGGGAACCTCACACAGCCTCATGAGAAAGTCCAGAACGGGCTCTTGAACAGTGCTGAATGTGTCACTGAAATTCACTTGGTTGTGGATTAAAAGAGTCTGTCAGAGAACTGAATTTGAGAGACCTTCCTGGAACTTTTTTTTCAAAAGCTTGTTGAAGATAAACCTTTTCCTTAGAAGTCTAACAGTACAGATAGTAATTCCATTTTAATCCATGCTATTAAAGATTAATATCCAGTAAACCCCAGAAAATCTCTAGGTTGTCTTCCAGCAGTGTGTATTTTGCCCAATAGCTAATCTGTGTCTTTTTAAAATAATAAGGTAATTGTGGTAATAATTAATTAGCTAATGTTGTACCGTTTCGTCTGTAATTAGCGTTTAAGTTTTTGGATCTGCAGTGTGTGATCCCTGTGTGTGTCAGGCACCAGAGTGTTTACCTGACTGGGATGGTGTGAGGAGCCTCAGGTGTGTGCATCACTAAGAGCACTAACGGCTAATCTGTGTGTTTTTAAAATAATAAGGTAATTGTGGTAATAATTAATTAGCTAATGTTGTACCGTTTCGTCTGTAATTAGCGTTTAAGTTTTTGGATCTGCAGTGTGTGATCCCTGTGTGTGTCAGGCACCAGAGTGTTTACCTGACTGGGATGGTGTGAGGAGCCTCAGGTGTGTGCATCACTAAGAGCAGGTGTTGTGGCTGCTGTCTTTAGAGAGGAGGAGGATAAAGCTCCTGAAAGTGTTTGGCTCCTCTCACACCCAGGAAAAGTAGTCTTGACTTCATGAAGAAATGGCAGTATGGTTGGATTACTTTATTTTTAACCTCTTGATGTGATGTGAACAAGAACATCACTATTTTATTTTAACTTTGCAGAAAGGAGAGGAGCTGTGATTGCACTATTTACCTCAGTGTAATGCTCAGTGCAGACCGCAGCTGCCTTGGGCTGTGCTCTCATCTGTAAATGCCCTTGGGCCTCAGGAGCTCGTAACTCCTGGTCTGTCCTTGGCAAATGACATGGTCAGCAGAAGGCAGGGTGCTGGCTGAGAGATGCAGTGACACCTTGTTTCTCACAGATTTGTTCCCTGTCTCTGCTCTTTCTGCCTTTCTAATCTAATGCCATCAGATGGAAGAGAATAATTATTTCAGCCTGCTTCGTGGATGTGGATGCTCGTGTGTCTCTTGCCCAGCCACCCACTTCCACAGAATTTTAAGTTTCTTGGTATCTTCTTGAGCCTCACACTGACGAACTTGTTTGTTTGAAACTAACCAGTAATTTCAAAAGTTTGTAGGGTGGCCTTGTGACCTGATGGGACAGGTTGTGTTTCTTTAGGAAAAAGGGGTAAAATGTCACGTTTTCACCATATGGGTCATAAGACACCCAGCAGTTGCTTGCAGCCTGGGTTATTCTGTGGCTCTGACTCTGCCTTCCCCTTACCATTAAATAGCAGTATTTCAAAGTAGGAACACGCAGCCAAGACCCTGGGCTGAGAATCACGTCAGAAATTGGCAGAGGCATCACTGAAAACAGCAGGAGCTGTTTGGTGCTGGGGTCTTTACATAAACGCTGCCCTTTCCTGGGGTGCCTGAGCTTGGGAGTCTCAGAGTGTGTCAAAAATGGCCCTTCCCTTTAGCAGAGTGCTTTATAAACTACAGGGTCTGATACTGGGGGTGGGGGGGTGGAATCTTTTCCAGTATAGTAAGTAGTAACAAAATACTCTTGCCTTGCATATGCTTTTTCTGATGCCTGAAAAAACTAGATTTTATCAAAATAAGAGGAAACATAGTTCTGTGTCAGAGCATTTGGAAGCAGCCAACTGTGATGCGATATCCCCTTGTTTTCTGCAGCCTGTGGAAATCAGATACTGAAAAATCTTATGCAAAACATGACAATATTGTCTGCAACTTGCTGAGCGTTAGCAGTTAACAGACTTAATATCTGATTTAGTGCTTCCCTGTGATGAGACATGTTGTTTATGCTTGATCGAGAACGTTTTAATCAAAATGAAAGTATTCTTGGGTCTCACTTGATTTATCCTTTTTACCTGCTCAGTTGCTGGCAGAGGCCGGGGCAGAGGCCGTGGGAGAGGCCGAGGCCGTGGCAGAGGAAGAGGAGGCCCAAGACGGTAACTTCTCACCAGGCAACTGCTACCAAATTCTGGGCAATTACGGCTATTTTTTTGTACAGGTCTTGTTTATGGTATCCATTTTTAATAAACTGAAATGTGAAAAAGTTGTCTTTGCTTTGTTAGTGAATTCTGGGGCGGGAGGATTGTCCTATTTCTAGAGGCTGCTGCAGACTAAGCATGTCTTGTTGCTGTTGGTTGTCATTGTCAAGGTGTCACCTACCCCTGAAGGCTCCACAGTTACCTCTTGGGAGAGACTTGTGTTGGTGTCTTTTACCAGTGGTTGATTGAAACTAACCCCTCTTTTATAAGGCACTTGCCATCTTCTGATGGTTACAGAGTTAAGATGCTGTTCTCAGAACCCACATCCCACCACTGTGTCCCTAATGTTGTTCTGCAGAGTGACCTCTTTAAAGTTCATAGATAGAATTTTACTGTTTTCTATTACACATGAAGCTTATAATTTAACCATGTTGCTTGCTTTATACCACATTCACAGAGGGAAATGAACCAGGTCTGTGGAACTGCTGGATTGTTACATCTCATGATTAAAGTATACCTGGCTATGAACTTTGTCAGAGCTGGTTATATGGCACACTTCTGTGTGGGTGGGGCTTGTAAAGAAGCTTTATCACAAGTTTATTTCAGTGTACTTAAAAAGTGCATTCCTACAGTTACGTACTGGAATTGAAGTTTACTTCTGGAGATGGGAGAACTGCAGCTCAAGTGTTAAAGCACCTCTCAAATACCATCCTGCTGACTGTTCCCTCGTAGGAAAGCGGTTATTCACATCCGTGGTGGAAGGGTTGAGGAGTCTCAGCCGTTGGTGAAATACAGATGTCATTTCAAAGAATGTGTGTGCTTGAGCGGGACTTTCTTCACTGTTAAGGGTGTTTGCTGGTACTTTGGTTGGTTGCTCATGTTTCCACAAAGGCTGTGCTACAACAGAGTGGAAAAGAATTGCCTAACGTTGTGTAAGGGGTTGTTACTCTGGTTAATTTGCGCTGGCTGTTTGTGAGCTGCTCTTCTTTTTTTTCCCCTCATACAGAGGCCATATTAAAGCTTCATCTTGTTACAGAAGAGCTTTTTTTTTTCCCCAAACCATTGTGGAACCTCCTAAGATCACTTTTTGGTCAATATAGCACCCACCATTCTGGACTCTATAAATAGCTGCTACAAATAATGGTTGCTGCTGTCTTCCAGCAGGGCCCAGTCGCTGACGATGGGGGTAAGGTCTTCTCAAATCCAGCTGGAGGCCTTCATGCCACGGTGGAGACTCTCTCCCTCTTCAGTCTCTTCCTTATAAAAGTCACTAGTGCCCCCAGGGGGATGCACATGGTGGATGCTGCCACCAGCAGCCCGATCACCGCCAGGGCGTAGCTCGGGTAGTCCTTGGTCACCAGCTGCCCCTGCAAGGGAGAGAAGATGGGTTGGAGCTGTGGGACCTGGGGGTTTTGGTGTCTTGAGTTTCTGTTTCAACAGGACACGGGAGAAGCACGTGCAGGCTCGGCCCATGACTCAGTGCTTTGCTTTGCCCAACCACCCAAGATTTAATAGTGGTAAGAACAGAGCTGCTGACAAAAGTAATTGGCAAAAATGTTTCTGTAAGCCTTGGCATAGAGAAGATTTTGGCTGGATTTGTGTTTCTTAATGAGATGTCTGTGCCCTGACCCCCGTGGGGTCTCTGTGCCTCCCCTGGAGCCGGTGGGCTCCTGCTGACACCCACTCAACAGGCCAGGGCCCCAAATCAGCAGCAACATGAAAACAAGGTGTGCAGTTTGTTTCTGTGTGCCAGGAACATTTCCACAAAAGGTTACAAACCCAGTGATCACTGAGCCAGTCATAATTCCTTTGTGGTAACTCCACAGGTCAGCACTCACACAAAAGCCTTTTGGCCACGAGGAAAAATGTATATGGAAATTATGGAAGCTATTTATTCCAGCAGCAGCTCAGTTCTGTTAAAATACCACTAATTTTGTTCTAAATACTATGCTTTGGAAATAATATTTCTACTTAAAGCATATTTTTTAAGATGCTATTTGGGTTTGCAACATGAGTAAAACGTTACTGTTTGAATTAGTAGATGAAGAACTGCGGAGGGGAAGGCGTCCATTTTACAGACCCGTGTCAGCGTTGGCACTAGGGCAAGCTTCCCCTCTTTTATCTTGCCACAAAATTAAATTTACCTTGCCCAACTCCAGCTGCGAGCTTCCAGAAGGCAGCCTGGTGGGACAACGTAGGTAGGAAGGCAGGCTGTGTCCTTGCAGGAATTAAGGAATTTTTTTAAAAAAAAAAAACACCCAACAACCAACCCCGAAGTAGTTTACCTGTGTGGCATCCCATGCTTGGTACTGCAGCGTTCCTGTGAGGATGTAGTCGGTGATGTAAAATATAAACAGGCTTACAATTACCAAAGGACTAGCAAAAGCCCACATAATCTTCCAATACCAGTTGGGCTTGCGCCCAATCATGCCGTGAAGATCTTTCTCAAATCTGTGTTTAAAAGGAAAAAAAAAGAAAAAAATAAACTAAAAAAAAAGACACAAATATTTTTGAGGCGAGCTGCATGTGTTCAATCGATACCTCAGTCTGAGTTACTGCAAACCCACCTACAAAATAAAATATATACAGCAGGAGAGGGGAGGATAGTTGTCCAGGTCACTAACGAGCAGAGAGGTGTTGTCAGAGGAGCTGGCTCACCAGGATCACATTGTAAGGGTGAAATCAAATTAAAAACACTACAGAGGTTCCCAAACTGTGAAAGATGAGCTAGAAACAGGTACAGCAGGAAAAGCCCCACAAGAACCTGCCTGGAGTGGTAAGTTCAGACTGTTTCTGCTGTAAGCTGAGGGAGAAGAGCAATGATGCTGTAATACTGTGGAGAAAGCACTGCTCATGTGAGTTGTTCTCACTGCTGTTATTTGACTGTCTTTGAGGCAGGACTGAAGTTGGGGAACAGTACATAAAATAATGCAGGAAACCTGGATCTGACTTGAAGGCTTTCACAGAATCATAGAGCATCTTAAAGATCACTGAGTTCCAACCCCCTGGGTACCTAAAATAATGCAGGAAACCTGGGTCTGACTTGAAGGCTTTCACAGAATCATGGAGCACCTTAAAGATCACTGAGTTCCAACCCCTGAGCCTGACACCTCCTCCCTGACACCTCCCACCACACCAGGTTGCTCCAAGCCCCATCCAGCCTGGCCTTGAACCCCTCCAGGGATGGGGCAGCCACAGCTTCTCTGGGCAACCTGTTCCAGTGCCTCACAGTAAAGAGTGTCTTCCTAATATCTAATCTAAATCTCCCCTCTTTCAATTTAAAACTGTTACCCCTCATCCTGTCACTACACTCCCTGACAGAGTCCATCCCCAACCTCTCCAACTGGGAGGCCATTATAAGGTCTCCCCGGAGTAGATACTGGGAGGCCGTTATAAGGTCTCCCCGGAGCCCTCTCTTCTCAACTCTCTCAACCTGTCTCCATAGGAGGGGTGCTCCAGCCCTCCAATCACCTTCATGGCCCTTCTCTGGACTCATTCCAACAGGTCCACGTCCTTCTTTGAACTCATCAAGGATGTAATGCCCATGTAGGTGCCTCTCCACGTACTGTGCTAATGGACTATCAAAGAAAATACTAAAGCCTTTTCCTTTCTAAACACCTCTGCTGTGTAAAACCTTTCCTGATGCCACATCTTGCTCTTACCCACAAGAGATGAGTTGGGAGAGCAGTGATGTGTGAGGTTTGAAACCAGCCGTACTGGCACTGTCCTGCTCACACAGCGTGGCTGTGAAAGGAGAAGCAGAGTTTCAGCAGAAGGTGCTCTTGAGACCAGGGACAAGAAGAGCTGGGATCCACATGTGCAGCTCATTAGCACTCCCCTGCCTACAGAGAAGGTGCTGGCCCATCCTGGCCCCCACGCAGTCCTAAACCCAAGGCCCTGGAAGGGATCTGCAGGGCAGGGGAGACCCTTATCCTTGCTGATACCATAGCGTAGGAGAAAAAATTAGCTGGAGGTGGTATTTTTATTCCTGGCCAGTGGTCACAGCCCTGCTCTGAAGAAAGGATGGCTCTCACTCTTACCTTCTTATCCCGTAGATGTAACACACGGCAATGGTTTCTACCAGCACGATGAGCAGCAGCGAGAGGGTGGCCGCGTAGTCATTGAATATGTCAAACCAATAATTTCCAGCCTCCATCGTGAAGGTTAGGCCAATCACGCAGTTAATGAGACACACAGCTCCTGCAGGGATAAAACAGGGACCTGTTGTTACGCTTGAAGATCCAATTGCATGGGGGAAACATTGGACTTCTTGTGACTAAAAAGCTGGTGGGATTTCTACTAATTTCTGTTGGGGAAAGCTTTCTCAGAGGAGAAAGATAATTATTATTTTTTTTTTTGCCCTTTGCAAACAACGTGTCTCCCTGTGTGAATGTGCTGGTGTATCCTTAAATGGCTGCTCCTTAGACCTGTGCAGTCACAGCACACCAGCACAGCAAAGACAACCAAGTCTCAGCTGTAGCCTCATCACATGCAGCATCTGCCCTTACTGCTGGGCATCCAGTTAAAACTGGTTTTAAGGTGGACAATTTATTTCCATTCCCAAACAGGAGCACATATCATTTTTGGCCAAAGACTGAGCTGGTTCACAGTTGATGTGACTGAAGAGCTGCTCATTGCAGGTGTATTGCCATGTCTCCTGGCCCTTTGAGTTTCACCAGTCAGCAGACACCAGTCTGAAGGAGCTGGGGTGTGCTGGGAACCCTGCAAATACACACCCACGATTGCCCTAGTGCTTTGAGAGCTCCAGAGGGAAAGTGCTGAACAGGCTGTGCACAACTTCCCAAGGGCAAAGCAAATTCTGCCAGAAGGCAGCATATTTGATGTTCTCTGCTCCACCCAAGGTCAAAGAGGAAGCCTCAATGGCTGTGGGACACCAAAGCTTTTGCACACACGTGTTCTCACCCTGCACGGCCTGTGCTGCTCGTGGCAGGTACTCACCTGAGATGACCTCCTTGGGGAAGCGGGCAGTGATGACCTTGCTGTCGGTCAGCGGGGTGAGGATGGCGGCGGTGTTCCCCAGCATGCTGCCAATGCCCAGCATCAGCAGCATGACGAAGTAGAGGATGGAGTACAGCTGGGGCACCTCCATGTTCTTGATGGCTTCAGAATAGACTATAAATGCCAGTCCCGTCCCCTGGACAGCCTGCAGGTGAGAAGGGGTGAAGGGGTGAGTTACAGGCAGCTCCTCAGCTCAGTAAGGGGAGGGACTCTTTGCCAGGAAGGGTAATGATAGGACAAGGGGAAACGGTTTTAAATTGGAAGAAAAAAGATTCAGATTAGATATCAGAAAGAAATTTTTTACTATGAGGGTGGTGAGACACTGGAACAGGTTGCCCAGAGAAGCTGTGGCTGCCCCATCCCTGGAGGGGTTCAAGGCCAGGCTGGATGGGGCTTGGAGCAACCTGGTCTGGTGGGAGGTGTCCCTGCCCAGGGCAGGGGGGATGGAACTCGATGATCTTTGAGGTCCCTTCCAACCCAAACCATTCTATGATTCTATGATAAGAATAGGGATGTATGAGACTGATCCTCCCTAGTGAGAAGATACAGCCACAGTGGCGGTTCTGCACAGCAGAGGCAGATGAGATCTTCACCAATTTATTCAAACTAGGTAAAAACTGGCACAGTCCTGCTCATAGTGAAATAATTTGCCCCATACCTCTGTGACCTGCCTTATCCTGCAGCTGCAGGCAGCAGTCCAGCTGCTTCACCACCTGGCTCAGTTGCTAACGAGCCAAGAGACCCCGTTGGTCAGTTTACCCAGTGCCCCCCGACCCATCCTGAGGTGCAGAAGTGAGCCCCACCGTGGTTCTGGGGGATGTGGATGTACACATAAGGGGAGGGACTCTTTGCCAGGAAGGGTAATGATAGGACAAGGGGAAACGGTTTTAAATTGGAAGAAAAAAGATTCAGATTAGATATCAGAAAGAAATTTTTTACTATGAGGGTGGTGAGACACTGGAACAGGTTGCCCAGAGAAGCTGTGGCTGCCCCATCCCTGGAGGGGTTCAAGGCCAGGCTGGATGGGGCTTGGAGCAACCTGGTCTGGTGGGAGGTGTCCCTGCCCAGGGCAGGGGGGTTGGAACTAGATGATCTTTGAGGTCCCTTCCAACTCTAACCATTCTATAATTCTATGATTCTATGATAAGAATAGGGATGTATGAGACTGATCCTCCATAGTGAGAAGATACAGCCGTGGTGGCGGTTCTGCACAGCAGAGGCAGATGAGATCTTCACCAATTTATTTAAACTAGATAAAAACTGGCACAGTCCTACTCGTAGTGAAATCATTTGCCCCGTACCTCTGTGACCTGCCCTATCCTGCAGCTGCAGGCAGCAGTCCAGCTGCTTCACCACCTGGCTCAGTTGCTAACGAGCCAAGAGACCCCGTTGGTCAGTTTACCCAGTGCCCCCCGACCCATCCCGAGGTGCAGAAGTGAGCCCCACCGCGGTTCTGGGGGATGTGGATGTACCCACGTGGGGCTGAGGGGCTCTCCAGGCTGGGTGGGAGGACAGGAGAGAGTAAAGCCCCGGGGGCAGCACAAAGCTGTGTCTCACCGTATCGAGTTCAGCTTCCAAGCTGCAGTTTTTAAGCTGCGGCGATAATTGGGCATATTCCTGTGGGTAGGTGGCCATGAGGTATTCCTTCACGTCGCTGAGGTTGTCTGCTGTCACAGAGCCTTCCTCCAGGTCAAAAGCATTAATCAGTAGCAGGATCACCCTGGAAGAGATCATGGGAACTTAATGGCTTTCAGGTCAAGGTATGAGAGTGATGCTGGTTTTACACCTTGCCCCCTTCTCTATCAGCCCCCACATGGGGATGCTCTGCTGGCCCCACGGCTGTGGTCACCCTGGGTGGGAGACGTGGTACTTCCAGGGCAATGTTGGGATGTGGGCAACCTTCCTTGGCTTCAGAGGAAGCAGGTCCTGCACCCACACTGCCACTCCCAGGCAAATATTTAGGTGCTGGCCAGTGCCAGCTGGCATCTCTTCCCCTTTGCCCTCCAGTCCCACACCCCACTAATTTAATGAGCCTTTGGCAACGAACTAGCAGTTTGGTTTCCTCTCTGATCAGAAGATAGATTGACAGCTGTAAAAATGTGAGTAAAAGTGTAACTGCTGCAGGCCCTGTGCCAGGGACTGCACAGGAGCTTGCTGCCTCGGAGCACCATCCCTGCAGGCTGCTGGGTGCCTCCACAGCATCACCACCGGGAAGCTGAGCTCCTGACACAGGGCTGAGCCTTGAAGGAGCAGAGTAGGGGAATGTGACCATCACTGCATTTTATTGATCAGCCCCCACACCCCCAAAGCATGTGTCAGGACCAGAGTGCTGGGGAAATTGCCTGGGCAAGTCACAGCAGCAAACTCATCCTCTTGACATGGCCCATACCTGTAAGTGGCACCCAGGGGTCAAAAGTCACACCATCTCTGACCTTTCATCTCTTGATGATGAAGGGACCTTCATCACTTTACATCGTGCCATTAAGCTTTATTAGAGCAGCCTCAAGGCTGTGTTTGGGGCAGCACCGTGTGCTGTTATCCATTTACCTCCCCCCATTACCTTCCCCAGGACAGCTTGTGGTGGAAAACAAGTGAAATACCAGCCTCTTACTTGTTGATACAGCTCTCGTAGTTAAAGGTCGCCTTGAAGCCGTAGATGGAGAAGGTGACGATGCTGGCAAAGATGGAGGTGGTGCTGTTGATGAGCGAGACGATGATGGCGTGCCTCTCGCAGTTGTTGCTGGGCTCGTTGTAGCTGGCGAAGGCGATGAGGCTGCCAAAGCCCAGCCCCAGGGAGAAGAAGATCTGCGTGGCAGCGCTGATCCAGGTCTTGGGGTTGGACAGCTGCTCCAGCTACAAAACCAGATGGAGAAAGTGGGAGCATGAAGCTGTGCAGAGATGCCCAGCACTGCCCCTTCCAGCCCGTGGGGATGGAGACGGGGACGGAGCCTGCCTTATCTCAGGGTGGGTTTTGAGCAGAGTTACTGCTCAGTCTGGAAATACATGCTACAGGTTGTGTTAATGGGCAGGTCTCTTTCTGCAGGAGAATGGAAGCAGCTTATGGGCAACGTGGCAGAACAGCCTCCAGCTGCTCCCAGGTGGAGTTTCCAGCTGCCTGATCTAAGCTACTGCTGCAAAAATCTGGTATAAGGAAAAGGAGCATTCCCACCCTTTAAAAACCTACACGTGTGGTAACTAATAACATTTCATGAAAAATTCAGTGCAGTTTTTCTCTACCTTCGGCGTGAACATGTAGACGAGCCCGTTGACAGCGCCATGAAGTGTCAATCCTCTGATGAGGTATATGATGAGAACACAGTAGGGCAGAGAAGCTGTTATGTAGACAACCTGAGGAAAGGAGAGACACCTTGGTCTAAAGAACACACAAAACTGATCACAGTAGGTTAGCTCTTTCTTACTTAATTTATAAATAAATAAATCCCATTATTGTGTTTGCTACCTTGTATTAATCTTTAAAGAAATATTTTCAGATAAAGCAAACTTTAGATTTAAGTTTTAGGGAAACAAGTTTTTACTAATAATAAAGACCTGTGCTACTGTTCCAATCTCTTTGATTGGAAAAATAAGAACAAGATCTAAAATATTCACAGCGTTTACAAACTCAGTTCTGCAGCATTAAGTGGATAAACAATAGTTTGCAACCATCTCTCAAGAATGTATTAGGCAAAAGTTACCCACCATCTGCTCTTGGAAGAAGACAAAGGAATCTCATAAAAGATCAAAATCCAACTTGAATGGAACTATTTTAATTCAGATGTGAAAAAGACTTTAACATAAACCTGACGGAGGATGAGGGGAACTAAATCTTTCAGTTGTCTTCCATGAGCTTTTGATGAACCCCTGAATTTGAATCTAAATTTTCAATCTCCACATTGGAAAAAGCCACTTGCAAGGGAAAAAAAAGAAAAAAGGGAGAATCCAATCGATCTCTCTTTGCTGGGATGTACCCCAATGGCTCACCCAGAAACATATATAAAAACTAACTCAAATAAACACATCTTCCCAAGCTCTTGGGAAGAGAATCATCTAGGCAGTTACCAAATATTCCTCCCATTTGCACCTGCTTGCTCTGGCAGCTGGCATCTGCCTTTCCCTGTCACACCTGGAGATGGAGCAGCTTCACCTTCCCCAGCAGGACAGCCCTGTGCACTGCTGCTCCTTGGAACCCCCCTGCACCACCCCTGAAGAGGCTCTGCCTTCATGATGCTGTTTCAATGCTCCCTGGCTATTTATTTATTTCCTTTTTTTGCCCCCAGAGCCAGCTGCAACAAGTTTAAGAGTTTACAGTCTCTTGGCTTTCTGCATTCAGCTAAGACGATTTGGGGATTTACAGCCCTCAGCTTGCTGCTTAGTGCAGGCTCAGCCGGGACATTGCTTTCCAGCCCCCCACCTCCTCATAACTTCTGGTGTGAATAAAAAGTGAGTGAAAATGCCCGACAGACGTACTTTTTCTCCTTGCAAAGGCTGAGGAACAGACACCTCCTGACACAGCTTTCCACAGGGACTGTAGCCTGGTGGCTGGTATTGCAGCAGAGGCGGCTGCATTTAGAGGACTTCTCCGGTTTTGTTCTGTTTTGTCTGGTTTTTCTTTTTTATTATCACTTAGTGTTTAGGTTGAGCCTTCTTCAATTGCAACCTAACAGGGTGGCAAGAGGCAGCAGGGCTCTGCCACCGGGGGAGATGCCATAACCCCACGTTAACAGCATCCACGGCTGCTGCCTTTTTGGTGCTCGTTTGCCCTCCCCACCCCCTGGCAGGGCCGTGCCCATCTCTCACCTTGCCGGTGGACGCGGTGCCGCGCAGGATGCAGAGGTAGACCACCAGCCAGGCCAGCATCAGGCAGAGGGCCTGCTCCCACTGTATGGTCCCGCTGTCCTCCAGCGAGGGAGAGATGTTCAGGGTCTCGCGGTACCAGAAGTACTGGGTGGATGATGTCTTCTCACACTCCTCCTCGTAGCCGGTGCGGTTGCTGTTCAGGGGGCAGGTGGCCCATGGCAGGGGGTCCTGCAAGGGAGGGGAGGAGCACAGTGTGAGCACCCACCATCAGCATGGCAGGGAGAGATGAAGCACTGCTGGAAATGAAGGCAAGGATGGTTTTCTGGACCCTGGGTTTTCTTGTCCCCACATTGTGCTGCCTGGGGTTGGAGATAAACCCTCAACCCTGGGGATGACCTCTTCTGACCCCCTCCCCAAGGACAGACCCACTCTGCCTCTCTTCCCTGGGGATGACACTCCTGATCCTCTCTCCCAAGGCCAACCCTCTCCCCCACCTTTGGACAGGGACCCTCCCCTGCCCAGGGTGCAGGACACCATGGCCACCAAGGCACATGTAAGCAAGGTGTCAAGGGGCTGGCCTTGGCCTGACACTCCGATGCCTCTGGGGAGTCCCAGAGATGGACACCCACCTCCCAGAAGCTCTGGGTGGGTTTCTGGAGCTTTTTTTGTTCCTCCCAGGTTGATGACAGTGCCAGGCAACATCCAGCACCAATGCAAAGCCACCATGACCCTCCATGGCCACAGCAGAGATGCACTGTGCCACCAGGAACCCACATACCTGGAAGGAGTGGAAGAGGTACCAGAAGGCCCAGGCATTTATCACGTTGTAGTACATGGAGAGGAAGAAGGAGACGACGACGCTGGCAACACCTGTGGGCATGGAGGGAGGTGCTTGGTCAGCAGCAAAACCCCAAAACGCCCAGGGCCCCATAACACCCCATGGGGGCTTTGCTTCTGCATGACCCCATGCAGAAGGCATGCCTCTGTCACCGCAGCCTCCTCCCCCCACCATCAGGGCTATCCTGCAACTGGATTTTATCCATTAGCCCCTGAGGGGGGGGGGGGGAATATTCAGCATGGAGAGGAAGAAGGAGACGACGACGCTGGCAACACCTGTGGGCATGGAGGGAGGTGCTTGGTCAGCAGCAAAACCCCAAAACGCCCAGGGCCCCATAACACCCCATGGGGGCTTTGCTTCTGCATGACCCCATGCAGAAGGCATGCCTCTGTCACCGCAGCCTCCTCCCCCCACCATCAGGGCTATCCTGCAACTGGATTTTATCCATTAGCCCCTGAGGGGGGGGGGGGTGAATATTCAGTGTACTGTTAAAAATAGAATGTACTTGTAAGAAAATTAGAGATAGTTTGGGCTACCAGTGTAATTTAATAATTTAATAATAATGCAGCTAAGAGCAAACATTGGTAAATGGTAGGCAGCGACGGTAGGAAATGAAGGCACTGTTTTGTCACTCAATGCTGAATTTGTCAAGATGATGCTCTTAGGGTCAAAGCCCAGCATGGGCAGCCCCAGGGGCTGGGTTAAGCCCTGGGCTTCCCACTGTGATTTTGGCAGTCTGCTTGAGGACAGGGGGACCCACACCTCTGTGCTCAGGGACCTGTTACCAACAAACCAAGGTCTGGCCCTGATGCTCCACTGGTGATGGGGTAAATGCATGCTGTGGGGGATTTGGATAACAGCTTTGCTCTGCCTAGTGGGACCCAGTAAAACCTCATTTCCCACCTGGTTTCTTCTCTGAAAGACAAAACCCTCCATTCAAAAATCACCCGTGTTCCCCAGGTGCTTAAAAACACAGATAAAAACAGAGGACATACCGACACCGCAGAGGTAGGGGCTTATTATTTTCCAGGCGCCAATGCTGCCCTGACGCATGCGCTGCCCCACGGCCAGCTCCAGGTAGAGCAGAGGCATCCCCTCAACGATCAGCATGATAAGATACGGGATCAAAAAGCCACCTGCAAGAAAAGCCCAACACATCACAGCATAATAAACACCAGATTGCCCTATTTATGGTCAAATCCCCCCATTAGTGTCCCAGGAAGTGGCTGGGTCCCATCCAGGCACCTTGTGTATTGAGTGCACGGCAGAACCTCCACGGGACATCTCAGGGGGTTTCAGGTGACATCCCAGATGGGTGGGTGCCGAGTGCCTGGGCGTGGGGAATTTTCCACGGGCACTTGGCAACGCTGGGATTTCTGCTGTTAAAATGTGCCGATCACCACCCCGGTGTGGCGGAGCTGCCCAGGTGCTTTGCGGGCAGTTTGAGCAATGTTGGGGGCTGGGGCTGTTAAAGGGTAACTAAGCACAGCCAAACCTCGTAAAAGATAATGAGAGAAAGAGGACAAGGGAAAGATTTACTTAGTGTGCATCGGTCTGCAGCAGAGCTGAAGCACTCGATGAAAAAGTAACAGCAACATCTGCCTTGAGTGAAGTTTTAAGTAACATATTGAAGGCTGGCCCGGCTTTAAAAAAAAACCCCAAAACTACAAAAACCTCCCCAAGTGCCAGCAAAGGGATGAAAGGTCCCACCATCAGGAGCAGACCCTGGGACAGAGGCACACAGCCTCTCCCTGCCCATGTCTGCTCATCCCCATTTCCCTGGCACAGAGAGCCAGGGATGCTCCTATGGAAGAGGAACAGCAGGAATGGGTTCCCACCCGGCAACCAGGATGCACTTCGGCTTAAATTTCTGCTGGAAAAAATAAAATCCTTGTCCTCAATGAAAGAGCTGCTGACTGAGTCAAAAAATGGATTTTTGTGAAGGCTTTCCTGCTTCCCTTTTTACAGCAAGCCAAAAATATTTACGTAAATATCTCTTATTTAGGATTTAATCTGCGGCATTAACATTCCTCGCAACGGGCTCGGTGCAGCGCTGCAGAGGAATGAACTCTGGGCAGCGACCGAGGCCAAGAACTGGAAATAAACACCTAGAAATAATCCGGTTTATTCTGGGAATTAATTTCCCACCTCCCAGCTCTCCCATTATTAACGACCCCTTTGTTAGTCTGTTAGATAACTTCCTATGCCGCGAGGGAGCTGTCGGAGGTTTAAGAGCTCCCGCAGCCTGGCGGGGTGCGAGCTGCCCCAGGAGCCTCCAAGGGGAGTTTTGCCACGTACCGCGGGGGAAGAAACAGCATTTGGCCCTTTGCAAAGGATTTTCTACCCTCCCAGCAGCGTTGGTGATGGCTTTGTCACCTTGCAAGGAGGAAGAGTGTCCCCAGGCTTGCTCTTCACCCCAATGTCCCCCTGGCAGCTGGTGGTGCTGGGGCTGAGCACCCTGCCCCTTGCTCTGCACCCTGTCTGCACGCAGATACTGCTCCTAATACAGCTCCTGCTACTTTTCATAAAGGGTAAAACCTAAAATGCCTCATAGAAGTGACTCAGGGCAGCTGTACGCACCAGCTTCTTATCTGCTGTGAACCTGTACAGCTCCATTGCTCATTTAAACCCAGTGTTGCTCCCTACGGTGCCATCCACCTGCAAAAACCAGCCCCCAGACCAGACCCCTCCAGTTGGCACGTGGAGTGTGTCCTGGGTCTGTTCGAGGCACCCAGCTTGGGCAGCAGCACCCTGGCCTCTGCTCAGCATCCCACATGGTGCCCAGGGATCAAACCCATCCCAGTGTCCTTTCAGCCTGGCCCAGCTGCACCTACAAGGTTTGAACCCCCCTCGATCTGTTCAGGTCAAGCTCTCTGGAGAGGAAGGAGGCAATATGCTGATGAATGGAAATGCAGGAGGTTGTAAAATCTGAAAATACCCTGTTTATGACTATTATCAGCAATAAGGATGGTATTGCCCTGCTGGGCATGCCAGGGACTGGCTCTGTGCTTTGCTACAAGGAAGATGCCAAACAAGCAGTTGCTGGCATCCCCCCTAAGCCCAATTCCAGCTTTTAAGATCCTGAAATGATGTTTTGTCTGCATGGGTTTTGCAGACCCCTGGAAAGCCACCAAAGCCTTCTTAAGAGGGCAGTGAAAAACAATTAACAAAAGCAAAGCCTGCTATCAGGAGAGCTGCCTCTATCCTTGGAGATGTAACCGGGGCAGACAAAAGTAGCAGAGAAACTACTCATATAAAAACTTGTTTTTCTGAAAATACTTGGGTTTATGGAATCTTTTTTTTTCTGGTTAATCAAGTGTTCTAGTTTTGGTTGTATTTCAGAGAATTTTCACCATCTACTACACTATTGATGGCTGATAAGAAGAGGATAAACTATGAAAAGACCCCAGTGTCTGAGTTTTGCTGTCCTTACTTGATGGCTTGATAAGAAGAGGATAAACCATGCAAAGACCCCAGTGTCTGAGTTTTGCTGTCCTTCAGGATGTCTGCCAGGATAGGCTTCTAGTGAACTAATCATGTGCAATTTAATTGCATCCAGAAACACTTGCATTTTAAGCTTTGTGCTAGAGTTCAGTGTCAGACATGAAGCCCTTACCCTCAAAAGCATCTGTGTAGAGAAATACACCCAGAATTGCTGCATGTCTATCTCTTCTGCTCTCTGAAACATCTAAGAAAGCCTCAGCCACCGCAGCATCCAGCTTCTACTGTAATTTCGTCTATCTCTTCCGCTCTCTGAAACATCTAAGAAAGCCTCAGCCACCGCAGCATCCAGCTTCTACTGTAATTTCACCCATGTATTATCTGGATTTTTCTGACCCGATCCCACAGAGCAGCTCTGATGCCATCCCAGCACTAAGCTGGCTTTTCAACAGCTAGCACGAACCAACTCCTACCACCACTCGTGCATTAAGAAACGAGCTACAAGCCAACAAAACAAACACAGGCCAAGCAAAAAGCACTTAAACACCTCAGTGTGTTTCTTCCTGTAAGGAAGAAAAGGTAGAAGCAGACCAGAAGCAAACGAGGCAGACGCTCATCATGCCACTTAACGCGCAACTGAGATGGGTCCAACACTCAACAACAGATGCAGTACAAGAAGCCATATAAAACTGGGATATCTTATAAAGAGAGGTTCTTTATAAGGATTCTGCAAAACATGGTCATTAACCAGTGGTAGCTGTATGCCAGAAAAGATTATTAATGTTGTTTTTTAATTAATCTAATTAACTGACTTTTGATTTCTAAGGAAGAACATCTGTAGCTGGTATATGATATAGACATCATCTATATACATCATCACCCAAACCAATTTATTCCCCGTTTTCAAAGCTTCCCAGGAGGCTTTAGCTGTGGAACTCCTGTTGACTAAGGAGTTTCAGCCAACTTCAAGGCAGATTTGCAGCCAAGTTATCACCTCTTAGTGTGAGAGACAACACATTAATGACAGCAACTTGAAATGATACAGATGATCCTTAAATTAAATCAGCATAAGCATTTCCCTTTGTGAATGCCTTCCAAGTGACTAGCAAGGAACTGAACTAGTTTCTGGTGGTTCAATGGGGTAAGAAAGTAATAAATTCTGAATGCCTTCCAAGGGACTAGCAAGGAACTGAACTAGTTTCTGATACCTTCAGAGTGGTTCAATGGGGTAAGAAAGTAATAAATTAATACCATGTGGATCTACATTTCTCACTCTACCTCCACCCGTTTTAAAAACACAGGTCTTCTCACTGCTTCACTGCACTTCTAGGAAATAAGTGCCACTGTATTGGGGCAGCTGTCAGGGAAAAGCCTTATGCTAAAGAATATGTAAAATAAAGCAGCAACAGAAGAGATTGCACACCAAAAAAGCCTGACCTCCTGCTCTGCCCTGGACCCTGCCGGGTAGACAGGGCATTAGCATAGACAACATACATTTGGATTTAAAGCTTGCCACACTCCACCTCAAGGGAAGCAAGAAACACAAGCCACACTTACCTCCTCCATACATCTGACACAAATATGGAAACCTCCACACATTTCCCAGCCCCACAGCATAGGAAATGCAGGCGAAAACAAACTGCAGGGGATTGTCCCATAGCGGCCGAGATTTCTCCATTGCCTGCTCACAGGCAGAGGTTTGGGCAGAGCCTTCTTGCCTTCCCTCCCTCAGGTACTCTGCCAGCCCTGCCTCAGACTCCACGCCAGCCCGGCTTGGAGGGGAGGGAAAGGCGGAGGAGCTATGCTTGCCAATTCCTATCAAGCTTTTTAATTACTAATCTTATTAACAGCCACATACTGAAGTAGGAATGCTGGTAAATAGATTATAGACACACACAGAACTATAAAATTGGTACTTTGGGTGAATAGCTGCTTGGGTTTTGACTGGCATTTCTGGGAAGGATGTGAGCCCAGGGATTTCTGTCGGCTCACAGGCCAACTTGAACCAGGAAGGAAATAACACTGGGGCTGCAACTTGGTTTTGGAAATGGGAAATTCCTTCCCCACAAGGCTCTCTTCCCTAGGAGCGGCATTTGTACATGTGAGGCACCAGCTTGGATTTGATAGCAGAGGGAAAGGGTTCCCACACCATTAGGACTGAGCTCAGTGGCTGTCAGAGATGGCTTTTATTCTCAGTGTCCCTTGCCCTAAACAGATCCTTGGGCATCCCATCACTTGCACCCTGGTGCTCAGTGCAGCCTGCCCAGCACACTCCCCAGTTCCAGAAGTGGCTTTGGAGCAGTCCCTGTCAGCCGTGCAGGTCCCCAGCCTGCTGCAGCCCTGAGTACAACACTCAAGTTTGGCTCTTTGGGAATACTACTCTCCCTCCGCGTGCTCTGTGTGTGAGAGAGCATGAAATAGCCCAATCTCTTTTCACTTACCTTCATGCTCAAACCTCACCGCTGCAGATGAATTTTTTCTGAGAGGTGGCTGTTTTAAAATACTTTTAAGCAGCAAGGACCAAATATATACAAAGGCCACTGAGAAAAGGTGTCTGTGGCCCGTTGTGGAGGCAGAAGGACGTAGGAGGCCTTTGGGTCATCTGAATGCACACCGAGATGCCAGCTCTGAACGTGAACCCTGGGCGCTTGGGCCCCTGCCAAGGTACACTTTGAGCTCAACCATTTTAGACAGGTCTCCCCATGAAGGAGGCTACCAGCAGCATCTGCAGCAATAAAAAGGGTCTGAACAAGTCCAAGGGCTCAGCTTCCTTCCTCTGTCTAAACACAGGGTTGGGTTTTTTTTTTTTCCATGCCAGGACCTCAGCACCTTTCAGGTCTGTTCTGCAAAGATCTGCTCAGCTGTTGGCAGTTTCATTCCTCCAGCGCCAGCAACACGTTCCCTGGCAGCGCTGCGTGTGCTGCTCCAGCATCCCATCAGGCACTGGCAGAGCAGAGGCATCCTGCTGTGGGTAGGGGTGAGAACCCCTACCACGGGGCCTTTGGACAGGAGCCCAAACTGCAGAGTATGTCACGCTGAGTTGTTGAGACCAGCAGAATGATTCTGGTGGACTTGCTGACCAGCTGCCTGCAGTAGCAAAGTCATCACAAAGTGGGACGCCACTTTTTTTTCTTTTTTTTGCATGGTAGAAAAGGTGGTTGCAAAAGGTTCATGCATCTCCTGTAAGTGAATCTATTCTTCACAGCGTGTTTTAGCACTGTGGAGGTTGCCACTCGACAACATCAGGTTTTGTCAAACCCTCTCAGAGTACAGTTTTGAGGGAGCTCGTGGCTTTTCTGCAACATCCTTGCTGTTCCTGTCTTGCCTGCAGAATTGCAACATGCCAGCCAGCCCTGGAAATGTGTCTCATGGGTAACCCTGAATTCTGCTGGAAGGAAAAAAGGCAATTTTAAATCCATAAGCTATTAAACTGAAGGACAGACACACTGAGAAGCTACAGATGTGTTAACTGTCCCACATCGCAAAAACTTTTGCATATTATTTAAAAGCTAAATGTCTGTCACTGCCTGTGGGATTTATTACAAATGATGCTTATAAATAACTTAGAGCATTTAATAACTCGCAGATTGGACAGCCTTAAAAATGGCACACCACTAACACTTGGGAGGCTTCTGTGTGAATACATTACTGCTACTGATGAGCATAATCAAGTTAAACATTTCCTTGGCTCTGTACCTCCTTCTCATCACATTTCAAACTAGTTTACTAACAGACTGGAGAGACTGTGCAGAGGAAGAGGTTTGGTGTCCTTGGCTCAGGTCAGACCAGATCAGGAAATTCAGATGCAATGAAATGAATCCTTGACTCTCTCACAAATGTCAGATCATCATCACAGATCATGAACTACTATGAGTTTTTAAAGGCAGTCATGCACATAGGCACTCAGCAAAGTGCCTCTCATCCAGTGGTTCCCTGAGAGACAGAGTTTAAATATACTGGAAGGTATTTAAACAGATAACAGGGATTCTTCTAGTGGAACTTCCCATACACACCTCAAATAATGTGCTATTTCTGATGGCATTCAAGATTACATCTCCTTTGAACTTCCTTCTTTTAGCCTGGGTGAGTACTTGGACTTTATCTGCGGGGACAAAGATAAGCCTCTAGTAAGACACTGCAAGAACTTCTGATCATTTAACTGGTCACGTTCAAGGACAATTAGAAGGAATTTTTTTCCCAAGGTACCTACCAAATGTGAGAGTGTAGGGTCTGGGGGAAGTGGGTGAGAAAGGGCAGGAGTCCATCTCCACAGCAGGCCAGGGACTGATGGGACAGTATGAGAACTGCCCTATGTAAACCTAATCAAAAGCTGGTAAACAGAGCAGAGGATCTCATTTCTCACTGAAGCAAAACTGGAAGTACTTCGGTGAAGGCACCAACTGAAAATCCTGGGTTTACATCTCTTGACACCAGCACAGTAAGAAGCCAAGTGCTTCTCCCAGTTACTTAAAACATAAGCAGAAAGGGAATCTGGAGTCCTAGCAACAGATTGGGGACCACGAGTCGAGGGTGGGAGAGAAGCTTAGCAGATCTAAACAAGGAGGGAAGGAATAATAAGCAGCAGTGGAAGAAGTCTGGTAAAGACAACTCCTAGATAATTCCACCAGGTAGGCTAAACTTTATTATGCTACATCGAACATAGAACCATTTAGGTTGGAAAAGACCTTTAAGATCATCAAGTCCAACCATTAACCTAATTCTGCCAAGTCTACCAGTAAACCCTGGCCCTCAGCACCACATCTACACATCTTTTAAATACCTCCACGGATGATGACTCCACCACTTCCCCAGGCAGCCTGTTCCAGCCCGTTGACAACCCTTTCAGTCAAGACAGTTTTCCTAATAGTCAATCTAAAAGTCTCCTGGCACAACTTGAGGCCATTTCCTCTTGTCCTGCCACTTGTTACATGGGAGAAGAGATTGATACCCACCTCCTTTGAGGGAGTTGTGGAGAGCAAGAAGGTCTGCCCTTGGCTTTCTTTTCTCCAGGCTGAACACCCCCAGCTCCCTCACCTGCTCCTCATAAGACTTTGCTCTAGACCCCTCACCAGCTCCATTGTCCTTCTCTGGACTCACTCCAGCACCTCAATGTCCCTCCTGTAGTGAGGGACCCAAAACTGGACACAGCACTCGAGATGGGGCCTCAGCAGTGCCCAGTACAGGGGGACAATCACTTCCCTAGTCCTGCTGGCCACATTATTTCTGACACAAGTCAGGATGCTATTGGCCACCTTGACCACCTGGGCACGCTGCTGGCTCATATTCAGCCAGCTGTCAACAAACACCCCCAGGTCCTTTTCCACTGGGCAGCTCTCCAGCCACTCTTCCCCAAGCCTGTAGCACTGCATGGGGTTGTTGTGACCCAAGTGCAGGACTATAACTCTAGATTTAAAATAAACCTTCTGACCTTTCCTTGATGAGCCAGATATGTACGAGGGGGAAAAAGTGTCAGCAGGGGTCAGCTCTCATGTTTAGTACTTACCATTCCTGAAGGCACTCCTTTCCAAATGGAAACCTGCTGGCTGTTAGCACATTCATTGATTATCAAAGGGAAGTGCTGGAAAAGTCTCTAGAGCCTCTCCAAATGTTTTGTGATGTTATCAAGGGAAGCAGATGTACAGCCAAGTGAGTTGCAGCCCCCACATATGTTTTTTCTGTTTCAATTGCCAGTTCACAGTTGCTACTCTAAGCTCCACGTTTCTTCACTTCAGGAGAAAGAAAGAATCCAGGTGGATTTCCAGATCTTCGACAACTCGTAGGTCATGACAACTCTTGGACGAGTGCTCTACATGTAATTGGAGATTACAGTTACTCCTGTAAGCAGCTATTAGGATTCAATTATTCCTTCCAGCTCATCACTACCACTTGCTGCTTTGTTCCAAACTGCAGACGATACCCTTAAGGTCTGTACTCTGAAGTCATATTCAGCCCCTTAATCGCCTTAAATCTGTTTTGTACTACTTCAGTCTCCAGAGATCAATAATATAAAGCAACTTTATGGAGGCCCCATTCCCAAGAAGGCATGCCTGAGAAGAGTCTCTCTTTTTATTTTCCTTGCTTTTCTTTAGGACTGGAGCTCTATCCATCTTGCAACAGTGGGTTTTTTAAGGTAATCCTTCCATAAAGGTGCACTCAACGCAGTTCTGATCCACAGAATTGCACCTAATTCACCCAGACCTCAGAACCTGCTTGTGTAAAGCAAAAGACCCACAAACTGGCACCTCACTAAATTCAAAAAGTATACCTGGCCTACTTAGTCAGTTCTTCTACTTGTCTTCAGTCAGTTCACACTTTCTGTCTGTCAAAGCTTGCCTGCAGTTTGGAAAGGTCTCCCGGCAGCTCTCTTGTTCACCACCTGCTGTCAGTCATGATCTGCTGCCCTGTCAGAGTCCTGCACCAACCACTCTGCACTGCCATCACCATCACGGCACTCCAAGACACTACATGAACAGGTTCCTAAAAGTAATAATTAACAAATGATAAATATCAAAGTCTCTAGATACTCAGAGTGCTGGAATAGAATGACATGTACCTACCGACCTTTATTTGAAGAAGAGTTGACTCCAAATAGGCTGCCTAATGTTTCAGGGTATGTCTGAGAGGACACTGATAAGGAGGTGCCTTCAGGGAGAGTCTGTAGGCGGCCAGAGCAGGGCAGGAATCCTGGGCCAGTGCTTTCACTGGGACATTGTTAAAATTAACAGCCATAGGGTAACTCCCACGGGCACATTCTCTGCTCAAAGCCAGTTAGAAACATGTACAATAATAATTATGATAACATTTCTTACCTGCTTAAGTACAAACTTACCTTCAAATGACATCAAATTATTTTTTAATTTATTTTAAAAGGCCTGGCCTCCTAGAACAGCTCAAACTTTTTAAGCTTGATCCATGTGACACCCTATGATGATTCACGCTTGTTTCCTGAGGCAGTAAGAATCATTTGACTGTGGTCTGACAGCATTCGGTATCACGCAGAAGCCAAGAGCAGCCCTAGATAATGCCAGGAGGCGGAAATCAGACTGAGGAATCTTAAGAACTTTTTAGATTATTTGAATTCTAAGTGGCTGGCAGAAGACTGTGGGTTGCCTAAAAAGCAAGGTATGTGGAAATGTCCAGATTGCAGCTGTCCTTGCATTGGTCTATCAAATAAAAAGAGAAGCACTTACAGTTTAAGTATTATATATTAGTATTCATTTTACATTAAAATTACATTTACATTCATTTCACATAAAAACAAAAAGAAAAGGCTATTATCCATAAGAGAAAAACAGATTAAGGAGTACTTTATGAACAGTTAAAGAACATCAGGTAATATACTGTCTCATTAAGAAGGCAGCATGCAGCACTGCTGGCTTATTTATTAATGACCAACTGGTGAACTCAAGTCACTGTTACAGCACAGGGTCTTTTGTCAGCTGTCAGAGTCAATACTAGCAAAACTGAGCTGCGTAGATATCATTCCTGTAGAGAATATGCTTCAATTTGCAATCAAAAACCCTCACCTAGCTTGAAAGATATTTGATTCCTGCAAATCAGCCAATTATAGAGGAAATTTTTTTTTAAACATTCCTTTCAGGCATAACTAGGGAATTAACAGCTGAAGCGGAAAAAACTGATGACGTCTATTTGAAGAGTATGACGAACTTCTTAAAAACAAAAAGAAACAATACCATTTTTTTGGTAAAAGCCGTATTAGAATATACACCTCAGGGAAAGACGTGACATTTTAGAAACACCAGGCACAATCAGGAGAGATTCAGATGTCATCTTCATCTTCAAAACATGGTATCTATCTCAAGAAAAAGAGAATCACTACTGCAAAACAATACCTTTCATTAATTTAACTGACACTGCATAAGGATTACCTCACTCCATAAAGCCCTACTATCGTGCTCCAGCAATAATACCACGCTACAGACACAGGACTTTATCCCAAACAATCTCACTCAACCACTGTGGGGAAAAGGACAACAAAAGAACTTACAGACTGCAAGGGTATGGCAGATTCGACTGGGGGCATCACCACTTAAGCAATTTAAACAGCTTCACCCATTAGAGAAAGAATGAGGAAAAATTCATTTCAGTTCAAACAGCTCCTGAGACAAGCACTGTTAAATACCAGTTTTGTAGCACACAGATAACAGTCTTTTCCCAACCTTGCCACTGGTGCACTTTTTTTACAGCTGTTTGATGTGGTGTGGCTTTGGGCATGAATCTGTAATTTACATCTTTGCATTTCTAGTAAGATTCTTTACTTACCTGCTACTCCTTTCTACAGATACTAAGAAAAGAGCTATAGAAAATATTCCTAAAAAAAAAATAAAAATCAGCTCCTTTCAAGATTAAGTGTTTGGAAACACAATGGTTTTATTTGGAGTAAAATACAACATACATATGAACAGGGACAGACGAACAAGTAGAATGCACTATTAGGAGGCTTCCAGGTAAATGCAAGGCAGAGAATTACAAGCAAAAGACTTGAGAGAAATAAGCTGTTTTCTGGTGAGGTTATGACAAGAAAGGAGATGAAAATATCTAAAATAATTTATTTCCCAAGAAACTTGCTCCATTAACTTCCTTCTGCTTTATCAGATTATCATCTTAATGTTAAGAATACTGGCAAAATCAGAATCTGTATTCTGATGCTTAAATTTGTTTCAAGTAAGTTCAACTGAAGAAGTATAACAATTAGTGGCTGTATTTGAAAGGATCCAGCACTTCTATAAAGCCTGTTTACCTCACTCGCTAATGAACACCATCTAGCAAAATTTTATTGACCATATTTTGCTGAGGTATAAGAAGTCCAGTGTGATATATTACGGAATCAGAGTGTTTCTTTTTGTTCCTCCTGAGCTTTACTTCCACTGATGCCATTTTCACATATAATGCCACTTCATCGCTACACTAACTATACAAAAGTAACAACTGGAGTTTCCACCTCAGAGACATCAAAAAAACTGTAATGCTTACTTTTTTTTTTTTTTTTTTTTTTTTTTTTTTTTTTTTTATATACAAAAGTAACAACTGGAGTTTCCACCTCAGAGACATCAAAAAAACTGTAATGCTTACTTTTTTTTTTTTTTTTTTTTTTTTTTTTTTTAAAGTTTTCTTAACAAAAATAAACTCCTTTCTTTGTAGGGAATGGTCTCAGTTCTTCAATAAGCTCCTGTTTGCTGTTTCTCAGGGAATGTTGATGGTTAACAATTAAAAACATGACTACAGAAACTAATACCTATAAATCGTAGGTTTATAAGGAAGTAAGGAGTTCCAGCATCTTATTAGTATTAATAAAAGTTATTTTAAGCACTAGAAGCAAAAAATATACCATTCAAAACAAGAATTATGGAAAAATAATACCAGTCTACATTTTCTTTCTATGGCAGCTTCTGACAGATCAGATGTTCTTGGTGTTTTAGTCCTCTGGCTCATATCTGAATTAAAAAAAATAAAAATCAGTAAAACAGAGTAGAAAATACCCAAGAGACATTTTTTCTCTAAAGAAAATATGAAACCCAAGTAATAAATTACTCCCACTAGTGATGCATTCCTGTCAAGACTCAGTATATGACTTTAGGCACAGAGGAAGGTATATACCTTTCTGACTATTTTCTCCTTTTAAAATTGTCCAGTTTATAGAGTCATAGAATGGTTCGAGTTGGAAGGGACCTTAAAAATCATCTAGTTCCAAATCCCCTCTCTAATTTGCAGAATTATAGTCTGCTACACAAGATAATAGCCAGGGTGCATCATTTACTCAATACAGGCCCAAACCTTTTTATATACTGTGGACTTCTCATTCTCATAAACAAACATGGAAAAAATAAAATAATGCCAAAGCATCTGGTACATCTCCCACCTGTATCTCTCTGTCTAGCACCTGGGGTCTTATCTACCACATCCATGAATATTTTGTATCCTCTCCATACTAAATTGTCTCATTACTTGCTCCACAGTAGCTGCTGTTGCACACATCAGTCCAATTCACCTGGCATCCGTTAAAAGGATTTGCTTGTCAAAAATCAGGGAACAGCCTACTAGAAATTCTTTTTAAGGGTAAATTTATAGTCTGTTTTACAGACAGCTCCACATTTATTAAAACAAACCAGATCCTGAACAAGGGTCCTGTTTGGACAGACAGAACAGCACCGCTTACTTGGAAAGCTTTTTACGTAGATCCTTTATCAGTTCGTTCTTCTTGGTGAGAATCTCTTTCATGTTGCGATAGGCAGCTGTTTGCTGGAATTTCTTCTCTAATTCCTATATAATAGCAACACCAACATATTATTTACATAGTATGAAAACCAGGCTAATATGCTTTTCCGAAAAAATTGCTTGCTTCTTTTCCTTCTCAAGTTTCAGAATAGTAGTTTCTCTAACTTATTCAAATTTAGATGAAGATAGCTAGTGTTTTCTAAGTAAATCAAGGTAAAAGTGTTTGTAAGACTGGGAATACACTTTTCCTTCAAAAATTTCTACACAGACAAATGGACATTTATTAAGTATTCAGCTGGTTATAATCGCAATTAGTTGTGGTTTTGCTATTTTACGTATAACATTTGCTTTTCCACTGAAATAACAAAAATACACTGGCACAAGTGTGACCCAGTAAACTGTGCATGCTTGTTAAATTACTAATCAGTTAAAATGTGAGTAAGGGTCTCATCTTTACATTACAATAAACTGCTAACCTTTTCAGCTGTGGATAGCTGATCCTGAACCTTAAGCAGGTCATGCTTCGTTGTCACTAAGTTCTCTTCCAAGAATTTTTGGTTTGCAGTAGAGTCATTCAAAGTCTTCTCAAACTGGCATTTCAAAGCTGCCACTTTATTCTCCAGTTCAGTGATATCCTGGTTTGCATTAGTCTTCAAAAGAATAATATTTAAAATATGTCAAATGGAAGAGAAGAAATATTTAAAACATACCCATTTTATCTGGAATTTTACACTTGATATCTTAATTTTTAATAATTATGTTCAGGCTATTCCTGTAAAACCTAAATTAGAAGCATTTTAACTAAAAAAAATTAGTCGAAGCACTAATTTATAACTTTGAAGAAATTGTTAATAAATACATTTTAAAGATGGCTGGAAAGTCTTCTATATCAAGTTGAGATTTCAAGTTCTTGTACTTCACTTCTTTAGGAATTAGGTGAAACCACAGGATGAAGCATATCACAAGAAGTTCTTTAGCATACAGAAATAGCTAATTACAGCTTCAGATCTGAAGGTTTACACTATAATGTATTTTTAAAGCAGGAAAAATATCACAGGCATTTGAAAAGCTGTTAGTGTAATACAGGTAGGAAAGGATGAAAGTGTTAAGGCTCATATTCTCAGTCAGGTACCAATATTGCACTGTTCTCAGATACATTACAAAAGAGCCTTCACAGTCGCTTGTGAAGCGACTTTCCTTGTGAGAAGAAACAACCCAAATTGTTCTGCACACGAGTTGTGAGTCACAAAACTTTATATTCACGTAACAGCTCTATGGATTTCCATTTAAAAATGCCCTCTCAATGTTTCAAGCTCAAGTTCAAACTCTCAAAAGTAAAATGACTCACTCAAGAAGCACCTTAAAAAGAACAAAAATCTGAAACTAAGGAAGCTCTGCTCCTTTTTCCACATGGAAGACAAGATTTGAGCATATAAACCCACTTGATACTACTATCTGTATATCAGAAAAGGTAATTTTGAATTTTGAGATGGAGTCCAAGGCTGCAATGTTGAAAAGCACTACACTGCATAATGTTTCAGATCAGAAGAGCGAGTGATCATCTTTCTAAACTGTGACATAAGTCAATTATGTAAAAATTCTACGTCTTCAAGTTAAACTGATCCAACAAACCAGTTACTCATAAACAGTCATTCACGCTTGCTGGGTGGAACCATATTAAACTATTAAAAAAAAAACCAACCAAACAAAACAAACCAAAACTAAACCCAAAAAGGTGGAAATCTGCTGGCCCTTAAAGAGTTGGCCCTTAAAACCATTGCCATTTGTTTCTCCAAAGATTTTGAAAATTACCGCTTTAATGAGCAATTGGGGTCATATGATTTTATTGGGCCCCATCCTATAAAAATACAGAGTGAAACCAGATAAAATTTAGCATTTTATCCAACCAATTAATACTTTAATTGATTAAATAAAGAGTACATTTCATCACTATATCTACTAACTTGTTTCAACAACATATATATGCCTGTAAATAGAAAATGTAAGAGAGCAAATTAGGACATGAAAGCTGCAGAAACTCTGCAGCCCTGACATTGAGGCCCATTCATGTTTAACCAGAAAAGTAGGATGAGATTTGGTTCCAATCTCTTAAAACTACAAACACTATTATCCCGGATTTAATAAACCCTTTTAATATTTTAAACCTTTACTAATTTTAGGCTTAACAAAATAGATAAAACAAATACTTGCCATGACTGATAAATTAAGTTCCCTATTAAATTATATTCTTGAATACAGATTTTGAAAGCTACTAGATAAAAATTACAACATATTAAGAAAGCCAAGTACATACCATAAACCAGTTAGAAAGCAAAATGAAAAGAAATCAGCATTAAAATGTGAAAATTATAGTGGAAATGTTTTATGATATTGAACTTCACCTCCAAATCTGTAATTACTGCAGGAATTTTAAAGAGTCAGCTTTGCAAAATAACGGGTTTAAAGTGCCTAAATTTGTTAAAAGTTTGAAAAGAAATGTTTTAAATTTAAGAAACAATCACATATGAACAAACCTCAGAAAATTCTTATTACTGACAAAAATAAAGGTACGGACTTAAAAAAAAATACTAAAGTGACCTGAACAGATTTATCTTTGTCAATCTACATGACATCTAGCTTCTTTGTCTTTTTTTCTGCAGCAGCAACTCACCATTTTTGCATCCTCACTTACAAAAATGATTAAGAACTTCAAGCAGTAAAAATAAAAAGTGAATAATGTTTGACGGTATGATGATACAGGTAGAGCTACCTAAAAATCTTACATTTGTAATCTGACCCGTGATCATTGACATTTGTAGCAAAACTTCAATTGATGTTTAAGAATATAAGACACTGGACACTTTTATAGAAGTATTTAGGTTTTGAATTCTGAAGTGAGAAGCAGCAAGTCTGGCTTGCCCATTTCAATGTCAAGTGTGACAAATGCTTGAAAGAATTAGTGTTTTACTGTTGCCATAAAAACCAGGTTAGATAAAGTTATTTCATTAGTAAATGGAAAGAAACAAACAGAGATAAATTTTTATCTCTTAATATAAATATCACCCCTGAGAATATGACCTCTACATTACTACTTCCTGATAGTAGCTGGAATAATACTTTCTGATAATAATTTATTATGGTCTTTGTGACACAAAATAGGTGTTATAAAAATCAATTAACATTCTGGATTATCTGCTGACTGATAGACCAGCAGGAACATGACAATGTCAACAGGAACATGACAACACTATCTTGAACTTCTGTATTTGCTAGAAAAGAAACACACCTTACAGACCAAATTTTTAGATGTACAAGCAACAGTTGTGTTAAACAGGGTGGTGGCAGTGGAAATCTCAATTGTATTTACCTTTTGATCTCCTTGGATCATCTGTAAATCCTTCAGTGACTTCTCTAGTTTGGACTTTTCATCTAACGCAGTTGTAGCCTGTGGTATATTGAAAATATAAAACATCAGAAACATACAAAACATATTTTAATTGAAAACATGAGAATAATAACGATGGGAATCTTATTTAGATATTTTTAATACGTAAACAGCATTAAGTATCCAAGCTTACAGGGAATTTACCTGTGTTTCTATGGTCTTGAGTCTTGTCTTCAATTTTTCATTTTCTTCTTGGAGACGAGCAACTGTCTTTGGGTTAATGAACAAGAAAAAGTTTGTGAACACTCTTGCGCTATTTTGAATTTTCCAAGTATTTTGGGTAAGAAAATATGCTTCATAGCTTAGGAAAGCCAAAAAGCTTCTAAATGCTTATAAAAACGGCCT